CAAAATGTCCTTGCTTCTGAAATACTCATCTTCCTTTTCTTCTGCATTCAACGTTTTTTTGCCAGCATGCCCAAGGGAAATGAAGGGGGCGTTGGTTTCACATGCTCTTTCTAATACATCATTAACAGCATAAATCATACAGCATAGCCACAGAATGTTGAAACACGGAGGTACTTGGTTGATACTTATGTATGGTGAAAGCATAAAGATAAAGACCTGTCCCACCTTATTCCATCGACTGTTAAACATTGCACCTGTCCATCCCATGGCTTACCTTGCGGTTACTCATCACTTCTGTATATTGTGGAATAATAGTTTTTGACAGTGACCTGTTATTAACAAATTGCATGAATCCTGATATGTGAGTGCGTGAGTGAGTATGGTTTTACGCCGCTTTTAGCAATATTCCAGCAATATCACGGCGGGGGACACCAGAAATGGGCTTCACACATTGTACCCATGTCGGGAATCAAACCCGGGTCTTCGAACGAACGAGCGAACGCTTTAACCACTAGACTACCCGACCGCCCCCTTGATATGTGATGTGATATGTGATCCATCATTGACCTGTTGAATTAATGGGACTGAGCCTGCCATCAGAACCCGTCTCAGGTATGGCTGAATAGCATTTGCGGCTGAGACGGGTCGGCATGGAATGACATGAGAGATTGTCGATTTTGTGCAACAAGTCCGTTTCATGATTTCACGACATTTCACGCCAACATGCATGTGAAAGAGGTGTCACTGTCGTGGTCCTGATACAGTGAATTGTGTATGTTGTGCTTAAATGTACGTGTTGATCACCATGTTTGATACGCTGACGGTAGGAAGTGCATGCTCGGTGTACCAGTGAGTGTATGCATTTGTATTTGTTCTAGTTTTCATGGCCTTTCGAAGAGTGCCGTGTTTTCTGTGTGTACGTTGGACAGGAAGGAAGGAGGCAGTTGCAGTGGCATATATGCGTGGTTCGGCTGGTGTGAATCATGCACATCGCCGGGGTGTCTTCTGCTTTTATACACTCTTGTAATAAACTCGCATCCCACATTGTTGTTCTCGCCAGGGAAAGATATGCGGTGAGGTAACGTTGATTTTCAGTCCCTCGCCTGCCTTATAGTAATGTTTGCTTTCTCTGAAGGCTACCTCGATCATCTTATTTATTTCTGTTTTATATTTTCACACATCTCTTAACCGAAAGAGGCTCAAAGTGCCCTATTTTTATTTTTTCGAAGCGCATTCTGAAACACAAATGATTGTTGACGAAGATGGCGATGAATGTCGGTCACAGGTTCTTGAATGTCATGGTAAATTCTATGTATGCCCCTGGAATAAGGTCGGAATAAATCGTTGTACACAGAAGAATACACAGGAAACCTTTTCCTCTTTGACAGGTAGATACAACGAGACCAACCTGTAGGAAAGAACTTGGGCGATGGGGCAGCCTAGTGGATAAGAAGGCCGCGATATAACTGGGATACTGTAAAAATCCAACTCACTCACTCACAAGTGGTTAAGACGTTCCCTCGTCACGCCGAAAACCCGGGTTCGATTTCCCACATGGGTACAATGTGAGAAATCAAAGTTTGGTGTATCCCACATTGCTGGAATATTGCTAAATGTGGCGTACAACCACACTCACAGGCTCACAAAGGAGGAAACTGGAAAAAATCTTGTGAAAACCGACACCTCTAAAATGATTAAACAGGAAACCCACCACATACATCAGACATATACACATGCACAAAAGTTAAGCGCCACCCACCATCTTTGTGATGCAAGTTTGACCCGTGAAGATTCCGGGATAGAATAGGTCTTCAGCAACCCATGCTTGCCGTAAAAGGTGACTATGCTTGTCGTAAAAGGCGACTAACGGGATCGGGTGGTCAGGCTCGCTGACTTGGTTGATGCATGTCATCGATCCCAATTGCGTGGATTGATGCTCATGATATCAATCACTGGATTGTCTGGTCCAGACTCGATTATTTATAAAGACCGCCGTCATATAGCTGGAATATTGCTAAAAGCGGCGTAAAACAACAAATCAACCAACCAACAAAGCAAATTTATCTTGTGTTCCAAAAAAATATGAGCAGAATGGAATTTTACCGTAGACCAGAAATTGAAGGATTAGAATACATGAAAAACTTTTTTGTCATGTAAATGTCATGATATCAGCAGACCATATCAGGTGTCACATAGACACTCTAGGGAGTGCAAGTAACGTCAGTAACGTGTGTATGATCCACGGACATTGAACCCAGCTTCAACCCTACGCCTCATACTCATTACAAGTCGTTGAATGCTTCTCTGAGGCAAACGGATCCATTCTTCATGAAGTGCGGCTTCAAGTCCAGCGATATTTTGAACTGGGGGATCACAATGTCTGATTTTCCGGCCCAGAATGTCCCAGAGATGCTCAATCGGATTAAGATCCAGACTACAGGAAGGCCAAGGAAGAGTGGCACCAACAGTTCGTAGCAGCATTCGACACTCGTCAGACCAATGGATCCCTCTACAGTTGGCCAAGTTCCATCGACTACGGGCACGACACCATATCAGACGATTCTGCATGTGCCTCTCAGTCAGTTGAGGACGTTTTACTGGTCTTCTGGCGTTATAACCACCCGCTCTGAGGCGACGCCTTACGGTCATCGTCGAGAGTCTCTGATGGGCAATCCACTGCAGTCTTAAATCTGTTGAAGTGTTAAAAGGATTTCGTCTGACTATCCTCTCTGTTAGAGGTCTTTCTTGGCCTATCCGACCTATGCCTGTCATTGACATCATTGGTTTGACCATGTTTGACAATCAAACGAGTGAAAACACTGTGATAACGACCCATTTGTCTTGCAATGGCCCTGCATGACATGCCAGCATTTTTCATGCCTATCACTTGCCATCTTTCAGCGATCGTTAACTTTCTCCTCACCATGGCTGATTTTCAACCTCTATTGGAAGGGGAATCAAACACAGGAGCAAAATGCAACCACGTGTCTGAAACTTGAATTTCACTATTTATAGGGTAGGGGAACTGCAGCAACACGTAAAGCACGCTTTTATTGTGGTATCTGGACAAATTTGGGTTCATGAAACTATGGAAGCCTAATTCAGTCATACATCATCATATTGCGTATTTCTGATTCCCACACGTGAAATCAAGAGACTATGAATATGGTGGCGCTTAACTCTTGTGCATGTGTATATATTTTATTGTCAATTTACTTGTTGCATGACGTTGTAGGGAACATAACTGTAGCAGCGGTAGAACATCTCACATAAAAGCCTCCGCGGAAACTGACCCCAGCCTAATGAAGGGAACTAAAAGTATCGTTATAGCAGTTTTAGCACACCAAAGTCAGACATATTGTCCTTTTTCAGTAGTATTGAATATTCCTATCGTACTTTTAAGGCAGTAAAACTCCTAAAACATAGAACAAACAGGTATGGACTCTATGGCCTCATGAGGAAAATGTCCTGACGGGCTAACAACCCTCTCACAATGAAGAGTGTGAATGGCAGTCATTTGAGATCTATATAATATAAATCTGATCAATATAATGTGAAGTATGCACACGCGGCCTGAACTCAGGGGAAAGGACTAATGTCATGTATGGACATATTCGATTTGGGAGACAATGGTCACATTCCCAAGCCCATGAGATTTATCACGCAATAAATAAGACCTACATCCCTTGCGTGTCATATAAAGTGAGCTAATACCGTGGTAACTGATATACTGTGCAAGTGGACTTAAAACGGCTTAAACCCCAGTTCAACCACTCATTCAGTTTACACATAGCGTATCTGTTTGCAATCTCGCCCCGATTATTTTTCTGGGTGTGTCAACACCATACCCATGCTCGTGCATCACGTCGGGCTTTCCTCACACATTAAACAGACACGCCGTGATATAAATGGAATACTGCTCAAAGCCGGGTTAAACACAACTCTCTCACTCAATCTAATTGCAATGATGTTCAAAACAACCACCACCGCTACTATTGCTGCTGCTGCTGCTGCTGCTGCTGCTGCTACTACTACATTTACAACCCATATCAACTTGCATTCCCAGTGTTCAGGGGAGTTAATATTCCCAGCTGTCTGTCAAAGCTAAAGATATTCCCAAGAGTCGAGCTTGCTATGGGTCACCCGTCAAGCTACTCAACATCGCGGGGCACGGGTGGCCCAGTCGTCTGAGGCGCCGCGATTCGCAGTGCATAGTCGAGTCCCCTGGGCACGCCAGCAACCTATGATTGTTCGTTTGAATCCCGGTTCGCTCTGATTATGTTTATAGGTTTGTCAGCAAAATACCCGTACCCATGGGTTTAACCGAAGTGGTAAACGTCTGACACCCACATCACTTCGGGCTTTCCTCCCACATTAAGCTGAAACGCCGCGATATAACTGGAATACTGTTAAAAGCGGCGTTAACCCCACCTCACTCATTCACTCATTACTCAACATCGCTGTCATTGCTGAACTACACCTGACCTGAAATATGTGTTCTGCGCATGGTTACGTTACGCATGTTATTCGTACATACAGATTGAGAGGAGTACAAAATGAAGCAGTTTTACCCTTACCGCCTCCCTGTGTTATATAACGGCAAAATCAATAATGAAGCGACAATCTACGAAACATACTGAAGAAATATGAAAAAAATACATTCACATGGTAACACGTATCGACATGTTTATGATACAAATGTTGGGGAGGAGTGTCCAGTGCCACACAGGGGTAGACATTAAGACGTTTATTACAAGCTAAACATGTCTTTTTCTCTGAAATATATTATCTCAAAAACATGCTTTACAAGCTTACAAACTTTACAAAGTCTTACCAGGTCGAACATAGTGGGAAGAAACTGGTGAATGTACACTGAAAACACTGAAGTCGTGTACAAGTTGTATAATTACACAGTCATCTATTTTAGTCAAGGCTACATTACAATTTCGTACACGGGAAGGCATAACGTTGCACAATGAAAGCAAGACCAGGATGTAAAAAGCCAATATATATATACACAAGGGAAGGCCATGTTAACCTAAATGCTCGTCAACGCGTAGCCAGTCACAGCTTTACAAAACTTTGACATCGCATTGAATCTATGGTCGACTAGATGTAACAGTGAGTATTTCTTCGTTTGTAATTTTTGGTCTAGCTAATATATATATGCAATGTAATGGTGACTCATAAACACATTAAACTTAGTCGAGTGGAGTCTGCCTTTAGCAGATATGTCTTATGCTAATGGAAAGGGCTTGTCGTTTGTATTTATATTCCAGAAACATATCTAGAATGGCTGAGAATGATCAAGTCATTGGAAACAACAGAAAGTGTTTCAATTAACTAAACTTTGAATAGGGAAAAAAATAAGACATAAAAAACGTGAGGCCTTCACCATGCACAGTTGGCGACCAGAGGCGAAAACTGTGAGTACTGGTATTTAGTACCTCCTGCACTTTGTCAAGTTGACTTAGAACAAGCCTCGGCATATCTATCAAGTGTCTTGCAGGCAACCAGGATGTGAAAAAGAAACAGCTTGCTCAATTGCCCTCACCACATGTTGATTGGTTGGTTGGTTTGTTGGTTTGTTGTTTAAAGCCGCCGTTTGGAGGTCTGTAAATAAACCGAGTCTGGACCAGACAATCCAGTGATTAATATCATGATCATCGATCCACGCAATTGGGATCGATGACATGCATCAACTAAGTCAGCAAGCCTGACCACCCAATCCCGTTAGTCGCCTTTTAGGACAAGCATAGTCACCTTTTACGACAAGCACGGGTTGCTGAAGACCTATTCTACCCCGGAATCTTGAAATACTATGTATACTATGCTATATATGCTAATGCTGTTCATATTACCTATTTGTATGAAATTAAAGAATAACACATGTGACAAGAAACTACATAAAATGAAATCTGTTTTTTTATTTATGTATTTGTTGTGCGTCCCATGTACATATTAAGAAAGATTAAACATTCATGGAAGCACGTGTATCAATCATATAAACGAAAGTGCAGTACATTTAATTACAATTCATAACTAACGCAGACCAGTTGATGCCTTTTACTAGAGTTACTGATTGGGCTATAGATGACAATGTATTGCATAATAACATACATTGTCTCTTTTCTGTGTCTTCATGTATTGTTTTGAGGTATGTGTACATAGTCAGGTGTCAGATACACTATGTACCCATTGGTCCTATTTACAGAGGGGTTCTTGGAATGTTTTAAACTTGAATTGTGAATTGAATTCCTCATTGTATCATATATTTAGTATCATTCGTTCAGAATGATTGATTGTCTGTTGTTTAACGCCACAATCAGCAATATTTCAGCAAAATGACGGCGGTCTCTAATTAATTGAGTCTGGACCCGACAATCAAGTGAATGACATCATGAACATCGATCCACGCAATTAGGATACGATGACATGCATCAACCAAGTCATCGAGTCTGACCTCTCGAACCCATTAGTCGCCTCTTACGTTAAGAATAGTCGCCAGAAAGCATGTGTTGCTGAAGACCTATCTTCTACCTTGATCTTCACATGTCCGTTTCAGATGGAGTATTGTAACCCTGGTCTGTGGAGATCGATCGTACCATTCTTCACAGTGTTGTTCTCCTTTGCATGTGTGTGTAAGTAAAACAAAAGCATCACATGGATTACCGCAACAGACAGTGGAAAAACAGCAACAAATCAGTGTATTTATTTAAATACAGTGAAGCTTTTTAACTGTAAGCAGCTTACTGCTTTCTCCTTCATTATGACATTGACTAGTAAACTAGTTCCTATTATGGCAAGTTTGGAAAACGTTGAGTTAATATTATAAATGTGTCGTAGTTAAACAAACAAAGTAGCAAAAATTAATTATGCAAACTTAGGACAGATTCAGAAAGTGATCTCTGGAGGTTTGGAAAGAGTGATGTGAAGTGTCTTTTCTTTTGTTTTCAACACATTTCAGGTAGAGGTATTCAAGTGCGTCTGGATCCAGGACCTAACTATGGCAATGTACAGATGTACCACAACGGTACCTGGCAGAGGGCGTGTCTTGAACAGTTCTATTACCTTGGTGGATACGCCTCACATGTCATGTGCAAGCAGCTTGGTTTCAACACGTAAGTTTCAGATTGAGTGAGTAGGCACGTCCTGCACTTAGAGCAATATTGCAGCCAAATCACGACGGGTAACAAAGTAACAGAGACAAAACCCTTTGCTTAATCATTGCTTAATTAAAGGCAGAGTCCATTATACGATACCGACTATGTCACAAGCATGTGTTTTTGAATTACTGTCAAATGGTGATGATCACTGGTTTTTAAGAAAAGCTAAGCGTAACCGGCCCAACCGGCCCAACCAGTCCATCTGTCAAAATATATGCACAAGGAAGTTAACTGTTTATCTGTTTAAACACGGAAACACATTGTACAAGCCAAAATACATCTTGTGTACCCATTTCATGGGTCTTTGGCGAGAAGAAACAATGCTTCGACCAACAAGCTTTCATGCCACCAGGGATGTGCTAAACCATCGGCGATCTATTCATCCTGCAATGATTTTGACACTTGGCATTTTGGAGTTATGTTATTATGAGTACCTGTTGGTGAATATAACCTTGTTTGCAATGTGACCCTTGTTGGAATTAGTCATATGTGCTTGCATTGATTAAACATACATTCTTCTTCCTTCAGCAAACGCAATGTAGGTATGCGTCAAACTGGAACACATCATGGACTATTTTGGTATACCTGGATTCATTGTTCACCAGTAGACACAAATCTGAATCAGTGCTATTCCGAACCTATCACTAACAGGACATCCTGCTATGATTATGACAAAGCAAGAATCGCTTGTTTATCGGGTATGTTAAACATATTTATATTGTATTAGTATATTGAAAGACTTGTTTCAGAAACTTGAAATTAGTTCTGTTTTGTCTGCTTCCTTATTGTGAAAGTTACGGTGAACTTCAATCAAATATTCAAAACGTTCTGATACACTTTGCCTGTTTTTTAAAAGGTCATATTTTGTTTATCTGGACATACATGGGGTATTCCTGACAATGTACATGTATACACGACTTTTAATAGCACCAGTAGTGTTACGAATATACAACCTACATATTCAGGTTAGTTCAAGACATCATGATTTGGGCACGTTTGCCACAACACCGTGTTATCTTCCTAGTCAACGTCATCTTTGTAATTTTAATAAAATCTATAACCCATTAATACGGAATAAATATAGAGAAGAATCCGCGACAATAAGCATAACCTGTTGGGATTTTAGTCAGTACTTTCAAATATTTGCCTTCTTTCAGATAACGAAACACGAGTTGATATTGAGAACCACAATGTCACAGTCACTGATGGATTCAATTTCAACACTAGATGTAACGTATACACACCTCAAACAAACTTGTCCTATCACTGGAACCACAACTGGAAGAATCTATTTTACTCGGGACGCTATTTTTCCGGGAAAGGTAACAGGACCGTAGCTGGTAACTGGACTTGTTCAGTGTCTTCAAACGGCAAGACACTTGGATCAGATTCCACAGTGATCAATGTTATTTGTAAGTAACGTGCATTGACTTAAACAACTTTAATGTTGAAACCGGGAAAGATTGATAGTAATTTCGAATAATTCTATGAAATGAAACGAAAGCACCATATGCAATTTACATGAAATGAAATACTTTGTGTCGTCAGTTTAATTTTCGTAATGAAGTATTATTTAGTAAAATAGTCATATTTTCATATATAATTTAATCAAAAGGACACAGTGGAAAAGATCATTGTACTGTTTGTGTTTGTAGATCCTCCCAAACGAATGCAAAGCAAGATCATCTATGCAAAAGTGGGTGATACTGTAAGTTTAAGTGAAACGGACGTTTCTTTTCCTTCACCGGAGACGTTCACTTGGCGGAGACTTGACACGAACTCGTCCTTCGTCAGATCTGTGACCCCGCCTGTCATGTCTAACATACAGCAGGCTGATGCTGGGGAGTATATCGTTATGATTCAACAGCCTGCATATTACCTAACACCATCTGCACCTGCATACAGAGGGAATTATTCGTTCGGTGTACAATTGGTAATGATACGCATTCCATGTAAGTTTGAAGTACATTATGTTTTGGTGAGAGGCGAGTAACGAGATCGGGTGGTCAGGCTCGCTGACTTGGTTGATGCACGTCATCGATCCCAATTGCTAAACAACAAGCCAACCAGCCAACCAACATCATGTTTTGTGCCACCTGGTATTAGCACTATTTGATGTTGATTTATAAACACATGTTAATAATATAGTCAGTATCGTACAATGGCTTTCACTTTATTGTGTCCTTCCAATTGCATCAACTCAATAAGCTAGTAAAAATTCAGCTGCAAACGTGATGCATGCGGTTGAATTGATATCCATGCATGATGATGATTTAATTTCCGTTCTATATTTTCGTGTTCAATACACTACCATTAGATTTTGTAGTAGTGTTTATAAAACTTAAAATTTAATTACCAGACCCGCCTTCCATTCAGTGCGAGGAGATTGTTCGGGTTATGAATGGTCAGTCTAGAACAGTAGAGTGCAAAGTTGATTCCTATCCAAGACACCACACGATGACGTGGACGCTGGCTACAACAGCTGGAACCAGAACTCAGTCAAGCCACAAAGACACCTATCACATTGTCAACGCCAGTGCTGGAGATGAAGGGAATTACACTTGTAGGGCCACCAACAACCTGACGTACCCGGATGGTCAAGTCGAGACAGGCACTGGGACATGTGTCATTAATGTGAAGGTCACATCGCCCAATGGTGGTAAGTTTAAATTAAGATTAAATATGTCTGTTTGTTGTATATAATCGAGTGTAGACCAGACCAGCCAGTGATCCATATTGTGAGCAACAATCCAAACTGTCGGGCAACGAGGACACCCTAAGCAACCAAGTCACCCCATGTGACCTTCCCATCCATTTGGTCGCCTCTTACGATGGGGACAAATTATCATACGGAATCCCCCGTGGACAATCATTAAATAATCTGAAGTTGGCTGAAGGAGGATGTATGTTTGTTAAATAAACATGATGTGGTCGTTCTCTGAGTAATAACCATACACCATGGACAAAAGCAAATCAGATTTGTATTTTATTTCATCTTTGAAAAACAGTGATACTTATATATTAATGTGTCCTATTTTGTATCGTCTATTTTAATGTCTATTCCTATTTGCACTGTGTATTGTAGGAAGAAGTGGGGATGAAGGTGCTGCAAAGAGAGCCTCTGGTCAAGAGACCACAACTAGTTCTGCTGTTTGGGGAGGCCTTGCACTTGTGGCAATCGTGGTCATAGGACTGCTTGTAGCTGTTATCGTGTTGGTCATTCGACAACCTGATAAGAAAGGTAAGATTTTGTTATAGCCAAACATTAACATGCTCAAACGCTTGTTTATGATTCACTAACGACGAATCACTTAATTTATACATTAAGGTACGTTCATCTGTATTCCAACGGTATATTTGTAACACATTTTTACTTTGTTATTACAGAAGTTCCGAATGGGTGAGTGTACCATCCCTTCTTCATGTAAGGTTTGTTTTTACAGTTTTCACATCACACAAATGGAAAACCCTGCATATGAAAACTGAAACGTATCTATAGTATCAGATACTTGTCAAAGTAGCAATAACTGGACGATAGATACATGGAGGTATTAGTGCTAATTTTCTGTAACATGTGACTGTTATAGAGACAAGCCCATTGAGATGACGACAGTGAACAGGGCAGGTGTAGCAGCCATTTCCGGTATGTTGTTGCAAATCATTGACGAACTTTGACATGTGCAGTCGAACCATGATGTTCTGGTTACTTAACATAACATTTTCATTGATTACAGGTCCTCTGTACGAGAATGCACAAGATCACAGGCGGAAGTGAACAAGCTGTTGTTCTGCCTTACTACTACTACTACTACTACTACTACTATTACTACTACTACTACTACTACTACTACTACTACTACTACTACTACTCCGACTACTACTACTACTACTACTACTACGACTACTACTACTACTACTTCTACTACTACTACTACTACGATGACGACGACGAAAACTTGGGGTATACATGTCACATATGCTAACGCCGTTTAACTGAATTACTATTTCAGTTGGCTCAAAACGGCTCAACTCACAACAACAACATTTAATTCCCATCTTGAACGGCTGCTCAATGGAGCTCTACAGGGGGAATAGGAAGATATGACAAAAACGTGGTTTTAACGGTGTACTGAAGCACTTGAAATATGCAAAAAGAATTACATAAATGTAAAAAATCAAAATCAATTGTACTGTGATTATATGCATCTGTAACCATTTCTTCCTTTCACGTTATATTATACTTTATGCAAACAATTTTCAAGAAAAGATTCTTGATAGGGTGATTATATTTTTCAAATATATATATAGTTATTGTATTATATTCAAACTAATATTACCAATGCCTTTGAATAAAATCTATAATTAACTGTGTTGCAGTGTCGTGGCGTTGTGTTGTTTAGCAAGTCTTGAAAGGTGTTCACTGAATTGTGAACTATAAACTGCGCTGTGCTTTAAACAGAAGTATGCTGTGTCACCCTGAGATGATACAAGCAGGATGAATGGGTGTGTCACATTTGCAGACACCAGCTACTGTGTTCATTAACTGAACCGAGACAGGACAGTTTAAAACTACAGATTGTATGTCGTCCCTAGACAAATAACTACAGATTGTATGTCGTCCCCAGACAAATAACTACAGATTGTATGTCGTCCCTAGACAATTAACTTCCTGGTAGCAAGTTGTGTATACATCGATAACAAGATACGTTGTTGAGCGAATTAGATGTCTCAGTTATTTCCCTAAACGATTATGTTTTAGTGGCATATAACTATATATAAGTAAAACGTATGAAGGAAAATATCGGCTCATTCAGATCCAGTGGGTATTAATCTGGGAAACAATACTTAGCACATATCTATGTGACACACAACTTAAGAACTAATCAGAAGCACCGGCTAAAGGATCCGCAACAGTAATATATGTAGGATGTTTGGTGCAACAAGAAAAACATAAGACATAAAACACTCATGCATATATATAGGTTAACAGTCAATACTACACCGAGGACTATACTCGACTTTATAGTGTTAAACGGATTAGATCAGCATCAGTGTGAATGACATAGCTAGTATAAATACAAGGTTTCTCTAAATACATTATCAACGTATCCAAACTTTAGTTTAACAAGTAGACAACTACTCATTCGCTGTCTGTAGTGATCGTTGTTGTGGTGCAAGTATGCATCCATAAATATTGTCAGTGCGTGAGTGAGTATGGTTTTACGCCGCTTTAAGCAATATACCAGCAATTTCACGGCGGTGGACTCCAGAAATGGGCTTCACACCTTGTACCCTTTTGGGGAATCAAACCCGGGACTTCGGTCTGACGAGCGAACGCTAGAACCACGCCCCAACCGCCCCTTAAATAATATATCGGACATGTGTGTGTTTCTCGGACATATTATGACAAGGTCCCCGTCAATAACATACAAAAACCTACGTTTACAATACAGTTTAGTTGCGCCCATCCTTGGTCAGGTGTATAGGGTGCCTAAAAGACATTTAGAGATGGTATTTGTTGTTTGCCTGACTGGCGGGCAAAACATGGTCTGGTCGGCTCGGAGTCAGTATATTGTGTCAGAGTGACTGAGTGGGAAACTTTTGTTAAACTGCGGCATGGCATCTCAGTGGGCTAACATTATAAAACCGACATTAGCCCGGGCTAGTACAAGAAGCCACACGCACGCACGCACGCACGCAGTCACGCTTGCACGCACTCACATCCACCCATCCGCCCAACCACCCACACACCCCATCCCCCCGCCCGCACACCCCCACACACATACGACCACCACCCCACCCCCCCACACACACACATACACACACACACACCCTACCCCCCCACACACACACATACATACACACACATACGTCACCCCCCCCCCCCCCCCCCACACACACACACACACACCACCACCACACACACACACACAACCACATGAAACAAACACACACATGTGCGGGCATAAGTTCTCGAAAACCCCATTTCACTTCACCTCACCTCACGTAAAAAGTATATTTACATCCTGAATGCTGAACGTAACAAGAAACGTTAGTCGCACTTCGTTGCATTCAGCAACGGGGAGCTTGAACAACAGTGTGAGTCTAGATATCATATCGTGCTGAATAATGGCAGCGACAGCAGGAAGGGTTAAGGTAAGAGAGTCGCGTTATATCTGCAGTATTGTTAAGTGATACTTTCGCACTTCAGGATAGTTAAGTATTTGAACATAAACATGTATCTAAAACAAATAATGTTGATAACATCTTTACCAGGACGTAGATTAGTGTTTGATGTGATTATGACAGACTCTGCTGCCATGGATATGTACATGTATAGATGATGTGCTTAGAGACTTTCATAAGACTGTCATCAGTAACTGTACAAATAGGCTGTTATAAGGACAAGTACATGTATCCTATCCCATTGATTCCCAAATCGACATGGTATCCTACTGCAAGAACATTTGTTATGAACATTTAATTTTTTTTCAGAAAATGCTCGCTGAAGTGAAGAAACGTCACATAACGATTTTTGTTGCACTGTGCATGCTTCACCTCACAACAGGAGCAGGTATTTTACTTTTTTCTCCCTCCCCCCGCCCCCCCCCCCCCCCCCCCCTCTCTCTCTCTTTCTCTCTCTCTCTGATATAAGATATGGGCTCATTGGCGAACTTGTAGCCGACCTTATTATTATGGGTTCACTTGATATTGAATCTTAATGTATCCTCTAAATACACGTAAGGAAAGGAAGGGTAAAATGGGCCAGGGGGGAACACAACACAGTGTCTAATTAGACAGTTACCGTGTCAATGAAGTCAATGATATAAAGAGTGTGTAATGGATGGAATGCAGATGCATTAATACCGTAACAACTCACTGACTGGTTCAGACAAAAAGGCACAATTCATGTAAATCTGAAATTAAAAACATATTTTCCCCTTTTAAAAAATATCCACTGTTTTTCAAATGCTGCTCAAAGAAAGTTCTCCAGGTATCTCACGGTCTTTCACACAGTGGTCAGTCAAGTGACTTTCAGAACTTTCTTCGCTTCTTAACAAATAATTCGATACGTAACTTACAACCAATGATTATACGTGTGACTTTCGAAAGACAAGTTTTTAAATAAACATATGTCACACTTAGTTTTAAGTTAGGCATGTATACAGTAGTTCCGATCTCTTCAGCTGCATCTTTCCAATATAACAAATAGATAATGTACCTCATCAATCCATTTATAGGAACTTTGAGATCTAGATACATGTACACTGATCACTATAACAGATCCATGAATGATGTTTTCAGTGGTTCTTCGTCTTGTTCCTGGACCAAACAAAGGTGTTCTGCAGATTCTACATAACAATACATGGGGAACATTATGTACGCACTACTACTTTGGCTTTGCAGAACTCAATGTTGTCTGCAGACACCTGGGATTCAATACGTAAGTGCCACATGTGACGGAGAGACTGTTCAGTGCTGTTATTCTAACTATATGTTGTATATCTTGATTGTGTACTATTACAGCTGTCTCCCCACATATAAGTGATACAGAACATAAATGTGGGACAGCGCGAATGTGATATTTCTCATTTGAGTGTGTCAGAATTTCCTTATTGCTAATTCTGTGGACATAACAAACCAAAGTGCAATGTATTGTGACCATTCCTGGTCTTCAAACTGATAAATTATTGAGCGTTGTCTTACATGGATTTACTGTATGCAAAGGATATAAACCCATATATTATATCCCTCATGTTATTTAAAGGGCATGCCTAATAACGTTTGTGTACTTTCAAATCTGGATCCTAATTGTTATCCTTTCATAACAAATACATGCGACCCGTGACGATCCGGGTTGCGAATACATGTTCAGCAACCCACGCTTGCAGTAAAAGGTGACTTTTCTTGTCTTAAGAGGCGACTAGCGGGACTTGGTTGATGCATGTCATCGTATTCCAATTGTGTAAATCGATGACCATGTTGTCAATCACTGATAGCTTCACAAACAATTTCATCCTTTTTTCAGAACCAACAACATTCTGAGAGACTTCGGTTCACTACCTGGAAGTGTTAAATATATCGCACGATTCAATTGCAATGGAAGGGAAAACAATTTCAACGACTGTCCAGATTTTAATTTGACCCGCTGTTCCTCCTCCAGCACCGTGGGAATAGCATGCCTTCGTGGTATGTATGCAACTCAATTATCACATGACCATAGTTATCACTTGGCACTGTTGTTTTGCACAGGGACAACGGTTCCTCAATATTGCTGGTGTGATAATATAATGGTGAGATAACAGAACAGTTACCATGTCCTGATACTGACACGCAGCTGTCACACAGACATGTTGCTATTCTGTGATACCAACACAAAGAACAAAGAACAATAAAGAACGAGGCCTGTTTTTACACGATAAAATATTGTTCTATCATGACATTTCTCGAGATTCGAACATACGCTCGCAACTTCAAGACGTCATAAATTGGACGACCCTATTTTTAGAAGGACGTGAGTTTTTCCCCTTAGATGTAGCTGGGCAACGCAGATGAAGGTAGTTACCAAACGATCTCATTCAAAAGGCATGATATGGCAATGAGTAATGCGGGAAAAGGTACAGATAATGTCGTAATGATTATGAGAACATTCAGGAAATACTATATCCCCCTGTTCAGAAAATGGACTTGTCCGACATTGCCGAGATCCTTTTGTATTCAGGGAGACATCAATATTCAAATACGGATAAATATTTTTAAAGCTTGTAAATTTGATTAACATCCCAAAATAGTCCCTCTCGTAGTTTATTTTCATAAACAAATGGCAGCATGATTCAAAATCAAAATCGGTTTCAATGATAAAGATTTCGTTGCACAATTTTGTATTGTATTAAGAAATAGAGATAACATTTAAAATATAAAACACAGCGTGTTCATCATCAACTAGATTAAACGAAAACTCCTTGGTATTAGTGAAGATACTTCATGGAACAGGGGTCCATTGGTTTGAATCGGTTGTTGATCTCAATTAATGGAAAATGAATAATCGCCTTTAACCAAAGTGTTTTGATGTATATGTCCAAGGCTTGTCCCTCTAAATATATCTTGACCACATATACGTGTATGACAGGCATTGGAATTGTGTAACACCGCTACTTCGGAAGCCAACATAAAGTGGGCATCCTTAAAGATGCTTAAGGATTTCCTCATCGCACTTTGCTGTTATTGCTCCACACAGATCAATATAACGCAAATATCGATTAAAGCGATCGCTCGTCACGCCGAAGACCCGGGTTTGATTCCCGACATGGGTACAATTTGTGAAGCCCATTTGTGTCGTCCCCTGCCGTGATATTGGTGGAATATTGCTAAAAGCGGCGTCAAACCTCACTCACCCACTCTCTCTCTCTATGGTTGTTTATCATTAAAACTATTGGCCTCTGGTTTGCTTAACGTCTTCTCATTTACATGACACAGACACAGAAGGTTTGATAACCCTTGGCAACGAGAAGATCAGGGACATCGAGGAGGGAGGATCGTTGTCTTGCTCAGTGTACGCAAGACAGTCTGTTGCGTATGTGTGGACCAAAAACGGAAACATACAATCTTATCAGGCTTCTAATGCAGTCACTCTAAAGCGCACTGACTCTGGGAACTGGACCTGTACTGTTTACTCAAGTACTGGAACCAAACTTCTTGGATCAGACTCAGTTATCGTTACTGTTATGTGTAAGTATGGCACTGAAACATTAAATGTGTTTGTTGTTTAACGCCGTACTCAGCAATATTCCAGCTATATGACGGCGCTCTGTAAATGATCGTGTCTGGACGAGACAATCCAGTGATTGACATCCTGAGCATCGATCCACGCAAGTGGAATACGATGACATGTATGAGTCAAGTCAGCGAGCCTCACCACCCGACTCTTGTGTTAAGCATTGTGTCTTTTACAGCATGCATGGGTTGCTGAAGACCTATTCTTAACTGGATATTAAAGACACAAGCAGAAGCACTGCCTGTGTGTGCTACAATATAACATATATGAAATGTATATTTGTCGTTTTCCACAGCAACAGGCGGGGCAAATTGTGTCAAGTTCTCATTCAAAGCAACATCATTTAATTTGTTAACGTTAACACTTAATAATGTTTCAAGGGCCTCTTTGAGGTAACAACACTTGATGATTAAATACATAATGTCACAATCAATGTGCATAATATTTTAGACCACCCCCTCAGCCTAACCACGAGAACAATGTACGCCCAACGAGGAGACACAGTGAACCTGAGCAGGTCTGACATAAGCCTCCCTCCACCACACGTCTACAGATGGCGCCAGGCAGGGCTGGACTCCGAGTTCACTGAATCGACCAAACCTCCTGTCATACCAAACATACAGCTAAATCACAAGGGGGACTTTATCCTGGATGTGACAAACACATTTCCCAGTGGACGTTCAGATTCTGGCATGGATCTTATCAAACTGTATGTTTCATGTAAGTCATATTCTATTGACCAAAACGGAATTTTTATATTCGACGTTTATAAATTAATTGACATGTGGCCTCCTATTGTAATTCAGTTTGTATAGTTGTACACGACGGTTGCATCTACTTAATTATACTCAGGCTAATACCTACTTTGTCTTACTTTAGAACACCACAACTATCCACAAAGTTGCAATATTCAACCTATCACTTAATTGCTAATTTTACTCAGGCCTTAAGTTAACTGAACAGAGTTACTCATTGACACAATGACACACTGGCTACGGTGTTTCTCTACAAGCTGTAGAATGTGAAAACAATCATATGGATACTTTTAATAGTCAAATTCGGTCAATTAAGACGACTGCATTCCGACTGAAATCGTCCAGATTACATTATTAGATTTCCGGATTATCGACTCATGTATAAAGATTATATTATTTTTTGTTTATACATGTTCGGCATTTATTGTAAAGTGTGTATTTCTGGGTTGACGTTGTCTTGACCAAGGAGGTTTCAATGAATATATTTGTAATTTCTTTAATGGACAGATAAATGGAAATCTCTTACAAACTTCAGACTGAAGGAGATATATTTGAACATGATTGACAACACTGATTTCTCTTGGGTCCTGTCATTCCCGAAGTATGCTTTCCATAAAAGGCGACTATGCTTGTCATAAGAGGCGACTAACAGGATATAGTCTTTGGTTGATGCATGTCATCGTATCCCAATTGTATGGATCGATGCTCATGTCTGGTCCTGACTTGATTATTCACCGACCGTCGTCATATAGCTGGAATTTTGTTGAGGGCGGCGTTATACAAACAAACAAATATTCCCAAAGTAAAAGCCTTTTTTACACTTTCAGATGCTCCCTCCGTCAAATGTGAAAGGGAGGTATCAGTTGTAGTGGGTCAGTCTCTCAATTTAGAGTGTGACGTTGATGCCTACCCAGACCCGCACACCCTGACATGGTCGCACATCACCGCCTACCAGAAAGAGGTGTCTAGCATGACAGAGAAGTTCCGTATTCCAGAAGCCTCCCATGCTGATGGCGGCCTCTACAAGTGCGAGGCCAGGAACAACATCACTAACCGACGTGGCGACGTTGAGGTTGGCGTCGGGGCGTGCAGCATACGGGTCACCGTCCATGACTCAAGTGAAAGTAAACTCTATAATATCTATCCACTCAAACTATATGAGAATTGTTTGAAAATAAGTGAACGTAACACATATCACTGTCAGTCACTGTTATTAATATGCCGCTTTTAGCAATATTCCAGAAATATCACGGCAGGGGGACACAAGAAATGGGCTTCACACATTGTACCCAGTCAGGAATTACTGTTATTAATAATAATACAATTGAGATAATAATTGATTGATGATTAATGACCAAGTTGTTTTTTGTCTTAAATATGAGAAAATGTTTTGGACAGTTCATGTCATCGTGTATTTTTGTATATTTACAATCACATGCTTGTTAATAAATTCTCAATTTCAGCTTCGACATTGCTAGTTGTAGCTGCCAAGTCAAATGATAAGGGAGGCAACTCTATGACGACTGTTGTATATATTGTTGGGAGTATCCTTGTGCTGATTGCTCTCTGCCTTGTCATCGTTCTCGTGGTGCTGACACTGAAGCGTCTCCCGATGAAAGGTACTTGCAGTTAGCCTGGCACATATTGATACCTAAACAATCGAAATAAACTGGATCATTGATTAAATATGATGCTCAAATAATTCTTTTCACACCAAAGCGTGTTATAGTAGACAACTTACTATGGTGGATTTATTTATCAGATGTGTTTGTGACACACCTTTAACAATTGTCTCTTTCTATTCTTTAGGGAACGGAACGGAAGAAATGTGAGTAACTTCATTTGTCGTCGTTATCTTGTACTTGTACATTGATAAACACTGTCTACGTTTCACAGTTTGTAACGAATATGAGCAATGCCCAGAGAAAAAAAAGACCATAATGCATAGAGTCCTGATTAAGGTACCATGTCTTTAATCTGTATGAAACCAGAAGCATACTTTACTTTCTCTTTTTGGGGGCACGGGTGGCCCAGTCGTCTAAGGCGCCGTGATTCGCTGTGCAGAGTTGCTTCCTTGGGCACGCAAGAAACCTAAGATTGTGGGTTTGAATCCCGGTTCGCCCCGATTATGTTTCTAGGTTTGTCAGCACCATACCCGTGCTCGTGGGTTCCAACGAAGTGGTAAACGTCTGAGACCTGCATTACTGGAATAATGTTAAAAGCGGCGTTAAACCCAACTCACTCACTCACTCAATCACAACTTTCCCTTTTTTCGCAAATTAAGGAAGAAGACAGAAACGTGCCAAGTCCCTCCAGAAGAAGGTAACCCACAATAAACATATATTCGCACGCATATGCGGCAAACTCTTTTTGCAAACTTTTTCAAATCTCAGACATGTCAATATGACAAAAGTCCTTGAGGTAAAGAGTGTAGCAGATGACTGAAGAGGCATTTTCATGCACTTGCCTTAAGTAAAACTACCTTTGATATTTTATTCGAATAGAATTGAGAAGATTTTATGTCCGCTGTAGACACATATTTTACACGTTTGAAATGTATCAAATATTATGGTCGAAGTTGCATATTGACGCTTTATTAGAGATTGGAGAACAATCTCTTAAGCAGTAGTTGTTATTGTTTTCTTCAGAGCATGCCTACGAAGGACTGTCAAGTCGCTGAGACGGAAAGAAATAACCCGGTCCACATTGCAAGGTATTGCATCTGAGACATTATATATATTTTGTTTGTTTGTCTGTTTGTTTGTTTTTTAACGCCGCGCTCAGCAATATTCCAGCTATATGACGGCGGTCTGTAAATAATCGACTCTGGACCAGACAATCCAGTGATTGATATCATGAGCATCGATCCACGCAATTGGGATACAATGACATGCACCAACCAAGTCAGCGAGCCTGACCACCCGATCCCGTTAGTCGCTTTTTACGACAAGCATAGTCGCCTTTTACGGCAAGCATGGGTTGCTGAAGACCTATTCTACCCCGGATCTTCACGGGTCACATAATATATAATGTTCTTTGAATTTTACATAATCTACATAACATGTAACATCTACGACATGTAGATAGCAAGCTGCGTGTCTCTACATGATGCCATCGTACCGACACAATTATGGATAAGCTTCCTTTTTCCTGTGTTACAGATTCCGCACAAGCCTGCCTTATCTGTTCTAAAGGGTTTCATTGCGTCGCCATTCACGTTCAAGGAATACAGGATTCAATGTCAAGTCACTCACGATGCGTTTTCTTGTGAACAGATTCTCTCACCCACTAGGAATACCTATTTTACTTACAGTTGCTTTCTTTAACATAATTTTGATTTATCCTTACCAGTTGGCTTTACCAAAAACATCCCCAATTGCGTACTCTGTTGATGTTTGCTAATTGTCTTCTTGTATATAGTATGATGTATAACAATGTTATGTGTACTTCGTGAAGCATAATTTTCTTTGTTACTATTTGCGCATGTAAACTAATATTGATAATGGAAGTAGTTTTGTAACAATATTCTTACCATAGATGTGTGACATATCAGATATAATAAATAAATAAATAAATAAATAAATAAATTCAAAATTCTCATTTTTTTTGGACCACGGTGATATTTTTACGCTACATAAACTATTAATAAATGTATTTTGGAAAATGCGAGTGAATATATGTACCATGGAGTAATTCTCAAAAGCCATGTATTTTATTCCACCCAGCAGTTATAGTGTGATATAGTGTGTTATTGTGTGAGTAACAATGAAAGGCAATTCATTTCATATTGACCAAAGCTTGATTACATAATATTACCCTTTCGATATCCTGCCAATCAAAATCAGTTGATTCCATGATAATCCCCATTCTAAATTACGGTTCAGAAATCTGGGGAGGTGAAAAATGAATCATAATGGAAAATATTCACCTTGAATTTATAAGCAAATTGTTGCCTAACACAAAGGGTAATCCACTTTCTATACTGTATGCAGAAATAAAAAGTAAACCACTTTACATCACTGATGTGTAAAATCATTTCTTTTCCAACAAAACTAATCACTGGAAAATCGTCAAACATATCCTGTATTATTTTACCAGTATATATTATATTAATATACTTCCGTGTATACCAATGTATTTTAAATGTATGGTGAAGACACATCTTGAAGATCAGATTCTATAAACTTATTAATTATGAAATTAAAACGGAATTCTACCTAGATAATTTAGCCACAACATACTACATGCCACTAATACTGTTGGCTGCATGTCACAGTTGAAAGAGGTCGCTAGACACAAAATACCATTAGTTACATCAGTTCCATTGTGTTCTTGTTATGACATTGCTGATGAGTATAATTACTTCATTTGTGAAATGTTTGTTACCTGTCACTCAAATTATATTCTGATGATACAGGAAATCCTTCAATGTTTAAACAGGTCAAATTATTTGAATGCAAAGATAACTTACCATGAAGCAGTTATCAATTTTCTGTAAATCTATTATGAATGTTTTTCAGTGATTATAGAACATGATGCCGCCATGTATGTGAATATACAGATCACTGTTAACCCTCAACGCACCATGTCTTGTGGGCTTGAGTAACATAAGGTTCAATTCAGTTCCGAAGGCAAGATTGCACTTTTTTGCACTTTGAACTAATCGTTTGTAATAACATGATTCAACTTTTTTAAAGTGAAATAAGCTGTAGCACGCTTTCTAATAAACACATGGAATTTGATCTTATTTTCTTTCTGATTCCTATTACATTTAGTTTAAGAAAAGTTACTGAGATCAGCTCCTGATGCTGTTATAAAAATAACAGTTTCAAATAAAAATCCCAGGTTCTGATAACATATTCTACAATGATATTGAAGATTTCTTGATTCTGATTGGTTACAAAGAGGTTTTCTGTTTGCTTCAGAAACCGTTTTAAAATATATTATCACTTTTCACTCAAAAATGCGCGTATGAATACATCGATAGCCTACATATCGATCCTCATAAATATGTCCGCCGATCAGCCATAAGAACTGTATTCGCTCTTCTAGATGCTGGGTCTCTAATAACGCCTGGGGCGGTCGGGTAGCCTAGTGGTTAAAGCGTTCGCTCGTTGCGCCGAAGCCCCGGGTTCGATTCCAAACATGGCTACAATGTGTGTAGCCCATTTATGGTGTCCCCCGCCGTGATATTGCTGGAATATTGCTAAAACCATACTCACTCACTCACTCTAAAAACGCCCAGTCAATGGCTCTCGCGAAATTAATAGACGGCCGAGCGTCTTATAGAGGAAATACGGTACGTTTGATGTCTGATGTTTTGGCGACGATTTTGACGTTCTAGATGAGATGATGAGATTAGGCCTCCCAGACAAAGGCATATCCTTTGCAAACAAATGATCACTTTTATGAAACTGTTAGGGATATGGCAGGAGGGGATTTGGATGTCCATCAGAAACCACTCATGATATCAATCACTGGATTGTCTGGTCCAGACTAGATTATTTACATCCTGCCGTCATACAGCTGGAATGTTGCTGTGTGTGGCGTTAAACAACAAACCAACTAATTTGAACACCTCATGTGACCTTGACAGCAGAATAGGTGTAGACTGTCACCCGAATTAAGCTCTTGAAAGTTTCCAAAGGATACACACAAAACGTATGAATATAAGATGTATTGCAAATCTATCCTGGAATAAATAACTTTCTCGTCACGATATAGTTTAAATATTGCCCATGACACGTTAACTTTCAACTTTCGCACTCACTGTTTTAACAAAGCCATTGGTAAACTTATCAATGTGGGATGGTAAAGATAGACATGTCTTCATGATGGATATTAACATGTATTTGCACACAAAGGAAGTATGCCATGGTTATGCAATTGTAACTGCCACAGCCGAGTTGTTTGAACCAGGTATAGTAAGGATTAACATTGTAATACTTCGGTTTTGGCATCCTGTTTTTCATAACGATACTGTAACACATGCAAATACAAACTTTGACAAACACCATTACTGTACCTAACATTTCTACTGTTGCCGTTTCCTAAAAATAATAATTAATAGATAAACGTCTTGTTTGTTATCAGACTTTATTATTACTTTGTTATTTAGTCTTTGATGGTGTAAGCCTGAAGTTTCAAATACTAACTGAAGGTGGAAATACAAATTGATTTGGTGTGTATTTAAGTTACAATATGTACATATTGTGTATCCCGTTATCAATATTAGGCCTCGTTCATTCAACTCGAGCTAGTGCAACTTCGGGAGCAAATGTGATTAAATAACATTTTGAATGCCTTACGCGGAAGTCTATGAGTGAGTGAGTAAGTAAGGTTTTACGCCGCTTTTAGCAATATTCCAGCAATATCACGGCGGGGGTCACCAGAAATGGGCTTCACACATTGTACCCATGTCGGGAATCGAACCCAGGTCTTCGGCGTGACGAGCGAACGCTTTAACCACTAGGCTACCCGACCGCCCCGGAAGTCTATGAGATGACATAGTACTTTTATCCAGTACTTTTGGCCATACTAAGGTCTATGGATACCGTCCACATTCCCCAACGACCATTACACTGTAAGTGTTAATACATGTACCACGATAATATTTACATTGGACCATTTCCTGCTATCTACTATTCTACTATCTATAATCTTAAGCCAAAATATATATCTCACTGTTCCCTATAGAGTTCACTCATGCGCTGGAGACATAACTTATGTTATGTCCTTTATAACACGGTCATATATAGAAATAACAGCCCGGACGCGAAAGTCGACTTCTGTGAATCCGGGTGAAAATTTAGATATAACCAGGCTAAAAGACGACAGGGCTCACTAGTCTTATACCCCCAACTTCTCCCCCAACATATTTCTAAGTTCAAAACATGAAAAACGAAATTTTGTCCAAGAAAATCCAATTACCTAAATCAAACATTGGACCGGACCCCTTCTATCAGTATGGAAACTGTTCGCTGAATTTGAAAAGAAGACAAGTCCTTGGTTTATGCCCTCAATGCCGACGGCCAAACTGGGTAACATCAAGTCCCTTCCAATTGTTTTTACGTCTTTTTGTATGGCGCGGACAGGTATCGAACCCCGGACTTTCCGTTCTATGGGTATTATCCACACCAACACGGTAGTGGTGTGAATAAGGTTAGCAGGCGTAATTAGTTTCCTCGTCTCTTCCCTGACAGTTTTACTTTTGTATCATTACTGAACACGACAACCTTCCGTTTGACTTACTGTTTTACATGACTGGCCATCAAGACACCCTCTCCATCATAGTATATGTGACGTCAACACGTTATGTGTGTGCATAGATTTGTTTGTGTTGCAGCTATACCACGGCGGTATGTAAATAATCCAGAGATTGATAGTAAGAGCAAAACACCACGCCATCTGGACATGATGACATGCTACCAGCCTCCGAGCCTGACCACCCATTCCAGGAAATCGACTCTTGCGACAAGACATGTTACAGGGGACAAGTTCTATCACGGAATCGCCACTGATTGACCATAGGATTTAGGATCAGAGAAGGTTCCGAAAATAATCGTCGCAAGAGTGAACCAAAATTGTTATCATGTATGTGATTAGCTGATTGCAAGTCATCGTATTACTTGGGGGTACGGTGGCCAAGTCGCCTAAGACGCCGCGATTTGCTCTGCAGAGTTGCTTTCCTTGGGTACGTCAGAAACATGATTATTGGTTCGAATCCCAGTTCGCCCCGATGATGTTTCTAGGTTTGTCAGCACCATGCCCGTGCTCGTTGGTTTCCCCGAAGTGGAAAACGTCTGAGACCTGTATCACTTCGGGCTTTCCTCCCACATGAAGCTGACACGCCGTGATATTACTGGAATACTGTTAAAAGCAGCGTTAAACCCAACTCACTCACTCGTCGTATTACTATGGCGGGGGCAATATCAACACACCAACCAGTAATTTGATGTATCCAACACTCGATTATTTAAGGAACGCAGTAATACAGAAGGAATATTGCTGGTTGAGACGGAAACCAACCACCGCTTGCTTTATCAGTTAAATAAATACCCTTAAATGTATAACACGACAAAGCAAAACATAAACACATTGACACTGACAGATGTTTATTTTGCAAAATCACGAAATTACAGGTTTTCCTTCAATAGAATCTATCAGGTCTCTCGCCGTAGAAATACATCATGGAACATGGTTGGGATACTACTGATGCCGTTGTTGCAGTATCTCCATTGTAGTGGCAGTATCGCGTATTAACAAATGTCACCAATGTCACCAAAACGGAACAATTAGTTCTTTCTCTAAAATATGGAGTTCAATGGGGAAAACCATAACGCAGACGGATTAGCTTCCCTAATCAATTAATCCTTATATCTCTTACAATTATTACAAAGTATGAAAGGTGAACCTACTGTCAAATCACTTCCTGGACATTTTTCTTATTATAATTAACATGTAATTTGATGCCTCTTGTGATACGATGACTGTTTACCCTCTAGAATGAATAAAAACAATTTAAAAAAAGAAATAAATGCCACAAATGTTAAACTGTTGAGTAAATGAGTGACTATTTATTGACGGCGCATTAGCAATGTTGCAGCTGTCTCCCTTCCAATGAATGAAAATAGAACAAACGTGTTGTTGAAAGTCGGTAGGAGAGATCCTTTGGGCCAGTGTCGTACTTCTATTTAATTCAGTGCTGCGGGTAACACAGAGGGACCTCACACGTGCCCCAGCGTTCATCGGGATCCGTTGTGTAACACCATAAATACCCGTAACGTGATGGGTCACGGCAGTAGTTAGCAGATCCTGTTACAGTTTGGGGAGCGTCAAAGCCTGAGATAACGAACTTGTCATCGTCTGTGTATTTGTGAGTGTGTGGCTCTTGAGAATCCCATCGCTGGCAGATCTTGCCGAAACTGGTTGTTGATTGAGTTCCAGTATATGACGCTTTTCGTTCAGATATCCACCAACAACTCGATACTCTAAAGAACAATACGAATATATTGATAAATAACTTTTTTAAGTTTAGATTTGTTTGTGCATTAGTGCTGTCATAACCTCGATGACGGTCCTCGCCTTTGTTGTTTGTATCTCCAAGGGTACGCAGACAGATAAAACGATTCCGAAATATGCGTCTGTTCACCAATAAGTGGAGGGGTGGGTAACCGGTAGGGAGAGACCACCCAATCCCGTAAGTCGCCTCTTACGACAAGCATTGGCTGCTGAAAACCTATTCTGTCCCGGATCTTCAAGGGTCGAGTCGGCATGGAATGACATTTGCGATTGTTCATTTTTGTGTAGCATGTCAGTTTCATGATTTCTCGATATTTCACGCCAACATGCATGTGAAAGAGGTGTCACTGTCGTGGTCCTGATACATCGGATTGTGTATGTTTAGCTTAAATGTGCGTGTTCTGAAATTGATCACTATGTATGATACACTGTTTGGATGAATTGCAGTAGCAGTGGCATATATGCATGGTTTCGGCTGTTGTGAATCATGCACATCACCGCGGTGTTTTCTGTTTTTGTACTCTCACTGTGTGCTCCAGTGATAAACTCGCACCTTACACTGTCCTCGCCAGGGAAACATTTGCGGTGATGTCACGTTGATTTTTCAATCTCTCGCCTGCGAAATAGTAATTCATCTGAAGGCTAACTGGATCATCTAATTATTTCCTGCTTCTCATTTTCACGAAATCCTCCACCGAAGTAGGCTCAGAGTGAGTTGCTGCCCCATTTTTACTTTTTTGAAGCACCCTCTAAAACACAAATGTTTGTTGACGGAGATGGCGATGAATGTCAGTTACAAATAGGTTTCTTGACAATATATTGTCATGAATACAGTTTTTGTACACTTCATTAGTGATTTGTGCACACTTTTATTTTCGTTTGTTTCAATGAAAAAATTACCAAACTGTCCCTAAAGATTTGCATAAACGGTAACATGTGTGTGCAAACGGTACACCTTCATCAGGTATTGTCATCTCAGCATCAAACCAGTCAGGGTAAAGGTCGAGGACGTCAAAATCGTCGCCAAATAATCTGTTAATGCTCTGATCTGTTATGTAGACTGCTCTTGTCGGGAGCCATTGTTATACGAAGGATGAAGGCTACAGATCACACAGGTGACTTCACACAAACTGTTTTTCTGTTAATTTTGAGGTATCACATGTTTATCAACTATCAATATAGATACCCGATTTCAATTCTGTTGTGACCAATCAGAAGCAATCATTTTTCAATGTCATGGTATAATTCCATGTATGCCCCCGGAATAAGTCAGAATAAATTTGTTGGTGTAGTTAGCAAATACTCCTAACACAGAAGGAGGCGGCAGGGCAGCCTTGTGGTAAAAGCGTTCGCTCGTCAAGCCGAAGACCCGGGTTTGATTCCCGACATGGGTACAATGTGTGAAGCCCATTTCTGGTGTCCCCCGCTGTGATATTGCTGGGATATTGCTAAAAGTGGCGATAAACCATACTAACTCACTCACTCACTAAGTAAGGAGATAACTGGATTGATTCTTGTGAAAACCTACACCAATAAAATGATTCATCCGTAAACCCACCACTAACATCAGAAATATCCTTGATTTTCAATTTATTTGTTACATGAAATTGAAGCGAATATAACTGTAGCAGTGGTAGAACATCTAACATCAAAGCCACCAGAGAAAATGACCCTAGTCTAATGTCCGTCGAAGACATTTATAAAAGGAACTACAATTATCGTCATAGCACATCAGCGAGTGAGTTGGGTTCAACGCCGCTTTTAACAGTATTCCAGTTATATCACCGCGTGTGAGCTTAATGTGGGAGCAGAGCCCGAAGTGATGCAGGTCTCAGACGTTTACCACTTCGATGAAACCCACGAGCACAGGTATGGTGCTGACAAACCTAAAAACATAATCGTGGCGAACCGGAATTCGAACCCACAATCATAGGTTTCTGGCGTGCCCAAGGGACGAAACTCTGCACAGCGAATCGCGGCGCCTCAGACGACTGGGCCACCCATGCCCCCTGATATTTTAAGAAAATATCCAACATCATCTTATATGTTTATCAACATATCTTGACACGCAATATGTAGCTCTAAACTGTCTTGACAAGATTCAGATTATGCGCTCTAGCCTTAATGCAAAATATCTTGCTAAAAAGGGATACCAATGTAGCATTCCATTTATAAAACACAATACATGAAAATTAGTCAGTGTTGGTGTTGGTGTTCCTGCAATGCATGGTGGAGGAAAACTGCATTCAAAAACTGTCACAGTCCCATTCTAGTGTTATTCTGTCATATCACCTACACCGTTCAAACGTGTTGAAATATTTTATCGCGATTTTCCTGGTTGATAAACGTATAAATAAACTTAAACCCCAGTTTCACTCACTCCAGTCGCACTAGCCATATACCGTATCTATTTGCAATCTCGCCCCGATTTTATTTCTAGGTCTGTCAACATCAAACCCGTCCTCGTAGGTTTCACCAACGCGGTGAACATCTGACGACTGCATCACTTCAAATTTTCGTCTCACATTAAACTGACACGCCGTGATATGACTGGAATACTGTAAACGGCGTTAAACCCAACTCACTCACTCACTCTAATTGCAATAATGTTAAACACTACCACCTCCAGTACACCTACTACTACTACTACTACTACTACTACTACTATTACTACGAGTACGAGTACGAGTACTACTGCTGTTGTTGCTGCTGCTGCTACTTCAAATACTACATTTACAACGCATATCAACTTACAGGCAACGTGCATTCCCAGCGCCCATTGGAGTTAACTTTCCCAGCTGTCTGTCAAAGCTAAATATATTCTCATGAGATGAGCTGCCATGCGCTGTCACCCCTCAAGCTACTCAACATTGCTGTCATATCTGAACTCCACCCGACCTGAACTATGTGTTCTGCACATGGTTACATTACTCGTGTCGCAGTTATTCATACATACAGATTGAAAGGAGTACAAAATGAAGCAGTTTTACCCCCACTGTTTCCCTGTGTTATATATGCAACGGCAGAATCAATAATTACGTGACAATCTACGAAACATACCTACGAAATATGAAAAAATACATTCACAAGGTTACACTTATCGACATGTTTATGATAAAATGTTGGGGAGGAGTGTCCAGTGCCACACAGGTGCTAGACATTAAGACGTTTATTACCAGCTAAATATGTATTTTTCTTCGAAATATAATTTCTCAAAAACATGCTAAATTTACAAACTCTTACCAGGTCGAACATAGTGGGTAGAAACTGGCGAATGCACACTGAAAACACTGAAGTCGTGTACGAGTTGTATAATTACACAGTCATCTATTTTTGTCAAGGCTACATTACAATATCGTTCCCGGGAAGGCATGGCGTTTTACAATGCCAGCACGACCAGGATGTAAAAAAAACAATATATATATACACAAGGGAAGGCCATGTTAACCTAAATGCTCGTCAACGCGTAATCAGTCACAGCTTTACAAAACTTTGACAACACATAGAATCTATGGTCGACTAGATGTAACAGTGAGTAATTCTTAGTTTGTAAATTTGTGTCAAGCTGATATATACATGCAATGTAATGGTGGCTCAGAAACACATAAAACTTCTTATATAGTCGAGTGGAGTCTGCCTTTAGCAGATATGTCTTTTGCTTATGGAAAGGGTTTGCCGTTTGTATTTATACACCAGAAACATATCTAGAATGTCTGGAATGATCAAATCAGTAGAAATATCAGAAATGGTCGAAATTAACTAAACTTTGGACAGAGAAAAATAAGATATTAATAACGTGAGGCCTTCACCATGCACAGTCGGCGACCAGAGGCGAAAACTGTGAGTACTGGTATTTAGTACCTCCTGCACTTTGTCAGTTTGGCTTTGAACAAGCCTCGACATATCATAAAGTTGCAATGCAAACCAGGATGTGAGAAAGAATTAGCCTCCTCAATTGCTTTCACCACATGTATGTCCAGATGGCTGGAACGTTCTGTAACGTAATACGTGTTTCCTCCTGTAGGTTTCAAGCTTTGCTGGTCTTCAAGTACCGGTGGGTCGTAATTAAAATGTATTATGTAACGTGAAACACAGTTAATATGCACCTTCGGATGAGCCTGAAACACTATATTCGATGTTCACTATATTCAATCAAAACAGAGAGAACTGTAGAGGGTTCGATACATGGTCGCGCACATGAAATACTATGTATGCCATGTTGTTCATATTACCTATTTGTATGAAATTAAAAAATAACAAATGTGAGAAGAAAATACATAAAATGAAATCTGCTTTTTTATTTATGTATATGTTGTGCGTCCCATGTACATATTAAGAAAGATTAAACCACATTCTTGTAAGCACGCGTATCAATCGTTTAAACGAAAGTGCAGTACATTTATTTACCATAAACAACTAAAACAGAACGGTTGATGCCTTTTACTAGAAATTGCTGATTTGGCTATAGATAACAGTATGTTGCATATAAACACACATGGTCTCTTTTCTGTGTCTTTATGTAGTGTTTTGAGGCATGTGTTAATAGTCAGGTGTTAAATATACTATAAACGCATTGATAGTATGTGAGGGGTTCTTGAAATGTTTCAAACTTGAATTCATTGTTTTCCTTTGTATCGTATGTTTAGTATCATCATTTCAGATTGATTGATTGTTTGTTGTTTAACGCCGCACTCAGCAATATTCCAGTTAGTCGCCTCTTACGTTAAGCCTAGTCGAAAGAAAGCATGGGTTGCTGAAGACCTATTTTCCACCTATATTATTGATCTTCACGTGTCCATTTCAGATGGAGTATTGTAGCCCTGGTCTATGGAGATCAATCGTACCATTCTTCACAGTAGTTTTCTCCTCTGCATGTGTGTGTAAGTAAAACCAAATCATCAAATGGATTACAGCAACAGACAGTAGACAAATAGCAACAGTAATTGAGGTCAAATCAGTGTATTTATTTACATACAGTGAAGCTTTTACACTGTCAGCAGCTTACTGCTTTCCCCTTCATTATGACATTGACCAGTAAACTAGTTGCTATTATGACAAGTTTGGAAAAAAGTTGAGTTAATATAATAGATGTGTCGTAGTTCAGTGCAGGATACAAGGAACAAAGTAGCAATAAGTAAATTAAGTGCACACTTATGATAGATTCAAACAGGGATCTCTGGAGGTTTGGAAAGAGCGAAGTGAAGTTTCGATTCTTTTGATCGACACATTTCAGGTGGAGGTTTTCAAGTGCGTCTGGATCCAGGACCTAACTATGGCAATGTTCAGATGTACCACAACGGTACTTGGCAGAGGGCGTGTCTTTACTACTTCCAATACTTTGGTCCAGACGTCTCACATGTCATGTGCAAGCAGCTTGGTTTCAACACGTAAGTTTCAGAATGAGTGAGAAGGCATGTCCTGCACTTTGAGCAATATTGCAGCCAAATCACGACATTAAGTATCAGGGACAAAACTCTTTGCTTAATCATAACACAAATGCTGCTAAAGGCAGACTTAATTATACGATACCGACTATGTCAAAATTATGTGTTTTTGAATCACTGTCAAATGGTGATGATACCAGGTTGTTGAGATAAACTGGGAGTACCCGGTCCCACCGGTGACCCAGTCAAAATACACCTTGTGTTCCCATTTCGGGAATAGAGCATTGGGCGAGAAGAAACAACACTTTAACCAACAAGCTTTCCTGCCACCTTGGATGTGTTAAACCATCAGCTATCTATTCATCATGCAATGATTTTGACATTTCGACATTTCGAGTTATGTTATTATGAGTACCTGTTGGTGAATATATATGCAATTTGCCCCTTGTTTGAATTAGTCATATGTGCTTGCATGGATTAAACATTGATTCTTCTTCCTTCAGCACACGCAATGTAGCTATGCGTCAAACTGGAACACAACATGGACTATTTTGGCATACACGGATTCAATGTTCACCAGTAGAAACAAATCTGAGTCAGTGCTATGTAAGAAGTATCACAAACACAACATCCTGCTATGAGTATCACATACCAAGAATCGCTTGTTTATCGGGTATGTTAAAAATATATTTATTGTATCAGTATATTGAAATACTTGTTTCAGAAACATGAAATGATGGCTATCACTCTTAGTTTAGTCTGATGGTGTCCCCCGTCGTGATAGCGCTGGAATATTGCTAAAAGCGGCGTAAAACCATACTCACTCACTCACTAGTTTAGTCTGATTCTTTATTGTGAGTGTTACAATGTTTAAAACGTTTTGATACACTTTGCCTGTTGTGTATCATGTGGTATCTTGGTATCTGGACATACATGGGGTATCCCTGACAAGGTACATGCACACATGGTTTTGGATAGCACAAGTATTGGACTGGTATATGTAACGCATATACAGCATACTATTTACATATCTAGGTTAGCTCAATACATCATGATTTGGGCACGTTTGTCATAACACCGCGTTTACCTCTTTACGCTGAAATGCTTCGTCATACTTGTTATTTTAATGAAATCTACAGCCAACTAATACATCCGGAATAATTATGGGGAAATATCCGCGACAATAAGCCTAACCTGTTGGGATTCTAGTCAGTTCTTTCAAATATTTGCCTTCTTTCAGATAACGAAACACGAGTTGATATTGTGAACCACAATATCACAGTCACTGATGGATTCAGTTTCAACGCTATATGCAACGTATACACACCTCAAACAAACTTGTCCTATCACTGGAACCACAACTGGAAGAATTTATTTTACTCGGGACGCTATTTTTCTGGGAAAGGTAACAGGACCGTAGCTGGTAACTGGACTTGTTCAGTGTCTTCAAACGGCAAGACACTTGGATCAGATTCCACAGTGATCAATGTTATTTGTAAGTAACGTGCATTGACTTAAACAACTTTACAAATAATGTGGAAACCGGGAAAGACTGATAGTAGTTTCGAATATTTCTATGAAATGAAACGAAAGCACCATATGCTATTTATATGAAATGAAATACTTTGTGTCGTCAGTTTAATTTTCGTAATGAATTAGTATTTAGTAAAAGAGTCATATGTTCATATAATTTAATCATAATCATAATAACATGAAAAGAAATACTTTGGGTCCGCAGTTTAATTTTCTTAATGAAGTATTATTAAGTAAAAGAGTCATAGTTCAAATAATTTAATCAACAGGATACGGTGGAAAAGACCATTGTACTATTTGTGTTTGTAGATCCTCCAAAACGAATGCAAAACAAGATCATCTATGCAAAAGTCGGTGACACTGTGAGTTTGAGTGAAACGGACGTTTCTTTTCCTTCTCCGGAGACGTTCACTTGGCGGAGACTTGACACGAACTCGTCCTTCGTGAGATCTGTGACCCCGCCTGTCATGTCTAACATACAACAGACTGATGCTGGGGAGTATATCGTTATGATTCAACAGCCTGCATATTACCTAACACCATCTGCACCTGCACACAGAGGGAATTATTCGTTCGGTGTACAATTGGTAAAGATACGCATTCCATGTAAGTTGTAAAGTACATCATGTTTTGGTGAGAGGCGACTAACGAGATCGGGTGGTCAGGCTCACTGACTTGGTTGATGCATGTAGATGCTCATGCATGTCGATGCTCGATGTTCATGATATAAATCACTGGATTGTCTGGTCCAGACTCGATTATTTAGAGACCGCCGTCATATAGCTGGAATATTGCTGGGCGGTGTTAAACAACAAACCAACCAACCAACATCATGTTTTGTGACTGGTGCTTCCGGTATTGCAGAATACCTTCATTTTTCGCGAACACCTGGTATCAGTACTATTTGATATTGATTAATTAACACATGTTAATAATATAGTGGGTATCGTACAATGGCTTACACTTTTTTGTGTCCTTCCAATTGCATCAACTCAATAACCAAGTAAACATTCAGCTGCAAACGTCATGCACGCGGTTGAATTGATATCCATGCATGATGATGATTTAATTTCTGTTCTATATTTTAATCTTCAATACACTACCATTATATTTTGCAGTAGTGTTTATAAAACTTAGAATTATATTCCCAGACCCGCCTTCCATTCAGTGCGAGGAGATTGTTCGGGTTGTGAATGGTCAGTCTAGAACAGTACAATGCAAAGTTGATTCCTATCCAAGACACGATGTGATGACGTGGACGCTGGCAACAACAGCTGGAACCAGAACTCAGTCAAGTCACAAGGACACCTATCACATTGTCAACGCCAGTGCTGGAGATGAAGGGAATTACACTTGTAGGGCCACCAACAACCTGACGTACCCGGATGGTCAAGTCGAGACAGGCACTGGGACATGTGTCATTAATGTAAAGGTCATTTCGCCCAGTGGTGGTAAGTTTAGCGACCAATGATTAAATATGCCTTTTTGTTGTTTAACACCGCAATTTGCAGCTCTTTGATGGCGACCTGTATATAATCGAGGTCTAGACCAGATCAGGCAGTGCTCCATATTGTGAGCAACCATCCAAACTGTCGGGCAACGAGCACACCCTAACAAACAAGTCACCCCATCGGACCTCCCCATCCATTTGGTCACCTCTTACGACCACCATCGGTTGACCACCGGGGACAATCATTAAATGATCTGAAGTTGGCTGAAGGAGGATCTATGTTTGTTTAATAAACATGATGTGGTCGTTCTCTGAGTAATAACCATACACCATGGACAAAAGCAAATCAAATTTGTATTTTAGTTCATCTTTGAAAAACAATGATAATTATATTTTAATGTGTGCTATTTTTTTATGTCCATTCCTATTTGCACTATGTATTGTAGGAACAAGCGCGGCTGAAGGTGCTGCAAAGGGAGCCTCTGGTCAAGAGACCACAACTAGTTCTGCTGTTTGGGGAGGCATGGCACTAATGGCAATCGTGGTCATAGGACTGGTTGTAGCTGTTATCGTGTTGGTCATTCGACAACCTGATAAGAAAGGTGAGATTTTGTTGTAGCAAAACATTAACATACTCAAACGCATGTTTATGATTCACTTACTTATGATGAATCACTTAACTCATGGATGAAAGTAGCATTTATTCTTATTCCAACTGTCAGAGCATATGCTGGGTAATATATGTAAACTTGTAAACACTTCTTTACTTTGTTATTACAGAAGCTCCGAATGGGTGAGTGTACCAAAAAATATCTGTTTCATGTAAGTTTTGTTTTTGTTTTCACATCACACAAATGGAAAACTCCTGCAAATAAGAACTGAAACATATCCATAGATTCAGCAAATTGTCCTAAAGCCATAACTGGCAGTTAGATACATGGATGTATTGGTGCTAATATTCTGTAACATTTGACTGTTGTAGAGACAAGCCAATTGAGATGACGACAGTGAATAGGACAGGTGTAGCAGCCATTTCCGGTATGTTGTAATCCCACCTCAGCAACATTGTTCATGTTCCCATCCCAATTTCCATATTTTCCATTTTCAACAGTAAAGGAGCATTGCAAATCATTGACGAGTCAAGTGAGTAAATTCCAACTTTCACATGTGCAGTCGAACCATGATGTTCTGGTTACTTAACATCAAAGTTTCATTGATTGCAGGTCCTCTGTACGAGAATGCACAAGATCACAGGAGGAAGTGAACAAGCTGTTATTCTGCCTTACTACTACTACTGCTACTACAGTGGGGGTATACATGTCACGTATGCTGAACTAACGTCTTAACTGATATATGCTGAGCTACCGTTGTAACTGATATATACTGAGCTACCGTTTTAACTGATATACTGTTTAAGTAGGCTCAAAACAGCTTACATTCCAGCTCACTCGCTTATTCATTTAACTCACTCCTACTTTCAACCTCGTCCCTATCAGCCCCATACCCGTGCTAATTGGTGTCACCAAAGTTTTACTTGCATCACTCCGGGCTTTCAACCCATATTAATCTGACATGCCTGATATAACTAGAATATTACTTATTCAAGGGTAAGGGCCCTGAGCTGATGAAGAGCCTTACCAGCCTGAATGTGCCAGGATAACCAAAACCATCTTTGCTGCATTTGTTATTTTAATCTGTATACTACTACTACTACTACTACTACTACTACTACTACTACTACTACTATTACTACATTTTTTAATCATACGGCTGCTCAGTGGAAGGTTCATTTAGGGATATCATTTCTGTGAAGACTAGGGTCTTGTACGAAGTCCAGGAAATGAGTTCCAAAGATGTTCACCAGCAACCTAGAATGTGTCTTGATATAGCATGCAAACCAAATAGGTTGGAGTACGCCGAAACTTGATACACGAACATGATACATGGTACTAAGAAACCATGGATCTATGATTCGAACTCATAATAGTTAGATTTCTTATTACACCGCTCAGGGACGCAACACTGTACCACGTTATGGCGCCTTAGACGTCTGGATCAAATTTGAACCAAAAGTGATGTTCATGAAACGAAATCATGCGTTTCATATAAGGTGTCTTTCATTATGACAGTAGAGTCATCAGGAGGTGCTGACACAAATGCCCCCGTTCTGATGCAATTCAGAAATGGAGTCAAACTACTTACACTCCACTTTTGGTTCATTGCCTTGGATGCCTACAGTTCACTGATGAAACAAATACTGCTGTTCAGTATGTTTTATTATCCCAAATCGTCATAAGACACCAGTTGAACACTAGACTGACCTGTAAAGCAAGTTTCGTCTAGAAATACTCAACGGCTTTGGGGTTCTGCTCCGGAAACGAGCACTTCCCTCTTTATCAGGTTAGGTCGAACTTTTCGTTTTTATTGTTTTTTTTAGATCTCAGTTGTTAAACAGGCACTAGTTCACTACTAGACTGATCTGTAAAGACAGTTTCATCTAATAATTTTCTACGGTTTAGGAGCTCTGCTCCGGAAACGGAAAAGAGACGGAGCACAGACAGACGGACGGACTGTTTCAAAAAGGGGGAATAATAATGACAAAAACATGTTTTTATCTGTGTTCTTGAAATATGCAAACGAAATTACATGAATGTAAATATTCCGGAAAAAAATACAATTTTGATGTGTATGTATGCATCTGCCAACATTTTCTTCCTTTCACGTTATATTATACTTTATGCAAACAATATCCAAGAGAAGATATTTTATCTGGTGATGATGTATTTCAAATATATATCACGTTATTGTATAATATTCAAACTACTATTGTTTTTCATTTGGCAATTGCATTCTTGAAGCAACCATGTTACCATGACAATGCATTTCAATAAAACCTCTGATTAACTGTGTTGTAGTGTCGTGGCGTTGTGTTGTTTAGCAAGTCTTGAAAGTTCGGGAGGCGGGGACCTGATATTTTAAGGATATTTCTAAGATCATCTAATATGCACATCCACATAATTATCTTGACACGCATTCTACAGCTCTAAACTGTTGTGTCGAGGTTCAGTTAATAAACTCAATAGCTGAATATGACAGTGACCCCGTACATCGGTATAATACTGATGTTACTACACGAGATTACAATCTCAAAATCAGTTCTTATTTCAACTTGATCATGATATGATATATTTCATCATTTGCTATATTCGACCCCGCTCAACTTGTATATATTTGCAGTAATCCAATGGTCCTGTGGCAGTGAAATGCAACCACGTCTGAGGTTATTTATGCGGTCTAGCCATAAATGCAAAACATTTTGCTGATAAGGGATACCAAGTTAGCAGTCCATTTTCAAAACACAATACATGAAAATTAGTCAGTGTTGGTGTTGGGGTTCTACGATACAAGGTGGAGGAAAACTGCATTCAAAAACTGTCACAGTCCCATTGTAGTGTTATTTTGTCATATCACCTGTGCCGTTCAAACCTGTTGAAATATTAGATCACGATTTTCCTTGTTGATAAACGTATAAATAAACTATATTCATGATCAATTTCCTCAAATGTTGACTTTCGATATTTACCTCTAGTTTGATATTCATAACATCTGACCTGTTTGACGTAAATGCAAATAGCTTCCTGATAAGGGATAGCATGTTACACATTAACCTTACAATACACAATACACGAATATCATTCAGTGTTTTGGGTTGGGTTCCCCGAGATACGCGTGATGGATTGTAGCGCAAAACTGCATTGAAACACTGTCACAGTCCTATTGTAGTATTGTTATGTCATACGTACTGCACATTTAAATCGGTTGAAATATTGTATCACCATTGTCCTGGTGGAGCGAGGTATAAATAAACTACATATGTGATAAGTTTTCACACATTGTGACCATTCGCTATTTGCCCATATATATATATATATATATATATATATATATATATATGATATCACGCGAGTGTGTTTGGGGATGGTAAATATCCGGTATTAGGGATAAACATTGTATTTAGCGAGCCTTGGCGAGCTAAATACACAGTGTTTATTCCTAAATAAGGATATTTACCATCCCCAAACACACAAGCGTGATAACCTCTTTGTCGCATAATGCCATTCTTTAATTCTGTGCTTGAAAATCGCTTCCCCTCTCTCACAAACATTACCTAAACATTGCGAGTTTTCCTGGAATGCGCGCATTAATATTTATTACGTCACAGGGAAAGTGATGTGTCAGTCGGACAGTGACAGTAGCCAATATAGTTCCAACTAAAATCTGTTTCTTATACAGTGGCAAAGCGACATATACGCAAAACAACAATTATTTTTACTTGCAGTTCGCGGCAATCCATCTGTCTGTCCGCTAGAGTAACTGCCCTTTGTCAAAGGGAAGCTACTCTACCCCTAGTCTTTGAGACCACGTCCAGACGTTGTTGACAGTCGGTCTGTCCAGTCAAAACGTTAAGAAGTGCAATCAGATGTACACACAGCGACAAAACGAAACAAGGTAACAATTCAAACATATTTCGGTCAAATCCAACTATTTTAATTTGTGGAAAAGGTTTCAAGTTGCAGAAGTCTACAAGCACAGATATGGCTACTGATCCCGCTTGGATAGGCCTAGTGCCCTCGCAAAATTGTTTCGAAATGTATATCTCCAAAGTGGCTAAAACTTATAAAATGCCTCCTCGATGTCACAGTTAGACACTGATTTTAAGTTTATTAGACTGTTCTTTTGATAATGATAACAATCATCTCTGTAGTTTATCCAGATTCCCGATGGTTAATTCTGACTCGATTCCCGAATGACAAGAGCGACGCCATGTTTGTTTATAAACACTGAAAGTAGTCCCTACTTGACCTTTGATATTTGCATCTCTATCCGCATATGACCCCAACGGATATCGTTTTTATCCGTTGGCTCTATCCTGCCGAGAAACCTACCCATTATATGACGGAGACAATTGTTAACTTACTTGGTGTCGTCACTGGAGTGTGTAAATACATTATGACGCTACAGTTGTAATTTATGACGTCATCATAAGTATGACGTCATATTATATTTCATTGTCAGTTACACTGAGACAGCGAAAGTATTATGTCTGAAACTGATATAAAGAGGATGTTAGACTAATGTGGACTTCATTATTTTATTATATATTACATGTACACCGAGTGAACATTTACCTCATTTTTGTATATATATATATATATATACATATATATATATATATATATATATATATATATATATGCAAAATATATTCTGAATCGGTCAGTGGTCAAGTAGTCTCTGGAAAGCCTGCGTAAATACAAAAGTAAAACTTATCATCACTTTTGCTTACTCACCATTGATGACATAAAATAACATACAACTCTATTGTGAATACTTTGATATACGAGCCACCAGCAGTATTTTTAGAGTGTTTTTGAACGAACAATCGGACATTTTGCAGAAATATATATGTACTTACTTAATGTGTGTGTAGCAGAAGACATTGAATAAATCAAAACTACACAGTGGACTATTAGTTCTATGATATATTTTATCCGACCTAAGATTGTAAAACGGCTTATGTCGACATTAGCGTAAATGACATCATTAGTACAAATTCAACGTGTTTTCAAAATATAATATACATCGTATGCAAACGTTAGTTTAACTAGTACACAACTACGATATGCATCGCTGTCTGTAGTGATCGTTGTTGCTGTTTCGGTCAGTGGTGAAGTTCACTTGAAAGTCCGCATGCATATATAATATTAAATAATTATGACATGTGTAAGCTCACCATCGATAACATACAATAACACACATGGACAATCTATTTTATTTGACCGCATCCGTGGTCTAGTGGACAGAGTGTCTTCGCTGAGAGCGGAAGATCGGCGGTTCGATACCCGGTCGCGTCATACCAAAACACGTTAAACGATGATATTTGTTGATACACCCAGGGTGGCCAGCGCCTCGTATAAGTTGAGTTCAATAAACCCCATGTCACCTCTCCTCACCTGAATAATATATTATGTCCTGAACTTGAACCATGATAAGACGCAAGGCTTTAAGGTAAGTCTCGCTTTGTTGCATTTAATATTGGGGAGCTTGAAGTACACAGAGTCCATCTTCCCCAGGCAAGCGAGTTACCTGACTTAAAAAGTCCAGTTTCCACCCTTGCCGAAATAGGCTGGAATTCATGAGCTCGATCGTAGCGCCACCAGTGGCTATTACCAGTTATGTCCCTTCTAAGCCTCACCTATGGCCCAATCAGATTCCACCTCTCACTTGCATTTGCTTCAAACAAAATGACCGCGCCAAGTGAGGACGATCTGCTCGATAATCAAGATCTATATTGTTATAAAACGGGTCTCACATCGCGAAACGCATCAAATCACGTGATCACCTTGATAACAAACATGAAAAGATTTTAAAAGTATCTTTTCACAACGAGTTGGCGTTGCACATGCTTTGCAAATCCTGCAATCGACCGAAATCTGCACGACAGTTTACGAACCGGATTTCGATTTCGTTGCGCGATTTTGTTTGGACTATGCATATAATACCAGCCTAGGTCGGTCAGCCTAGTTCGCCTTTATAGTCAGTTACCTCTCTTGCCTCGGGAAGATGACGGAGTCTGGAGTGCATAGCGTGCTGAATGACTACGTTACCCCGGAGGAGATTGCTATTTTCTTACTTCAGCATAGACAAGGAAATGTTTCCTTTAAGCATAAACATGCATCGTAAATATGTTACTTCATATGGTATTGATGACGTCTTCACCCACCTTTCCATGGCAAGGTGAGTGAGTGAGTGAGTTAGGTTTAACGCCGCTTTTAACAATATTCCAGTTATAATGCGGCGTGTCAGATTAATGTGGGAGGAAAGCCCGAAGTGATGCAGGTCTCAGACGTTTACCACTTCGGTGAAACCCCCGAGCACGGGTATGGTGCTGACAAACCTAGAAACATAATCGGGGCCCATGGCAAGGGCGTTAACAGACTATAAAAAGTCCAGTTTCCACCCTAGCCGAACAAGGCTGGAATTCACAAAAGTGAACTTTAAATTGAAAATCATAAAAGTTCTCCTATTTAAAGAACATTCCACTGTTTTCCAAATGCAGATCCTAGAACGTTTTTGCAGTATCCCAGATTACTTGCCATAATGATTCTTTCAGTGGTCACTCAAGAATAACTTCAAGAAATTTTTCGGTGGAGAAAATGTTCCTTTTGACCCTGACTTCGATTCTATCAACAGGCTGGTCAAGCCATGCCCTGTTACTAAGTTAATTTGAATCGTCAGTCCACGATGACCTCTTTCGAAGTGACCATTTTCCTACCATTTAAATACCTGTAGCACCAACTGATATTCCCCTGTGTTACGAGTCGATTCCCAAATTGAAACAATATGTTGACAAATGTTATATTTGGGATAATACTTTCTTGGTTAAGTACAGATTCTCGTACGTTTTGAGTTGAGCCCCGTCCGGGATTCGAATCCATACTCTCAGAGTAAGGCACCTAATCGCCAGCACACACAGTCACCGATCTGACCCACTCAGCCACCGAGGCTTCCACAAAATGAAAGTCCGACAACTGGTAGTTAAACAATATAACACACCGTCATCAAAATGGAATTAAAACCAACTGGGCTTTGTATGAAGTCCTTTGTACTAACAAACAAAACTCTGGTGATTTTATTGATATTTAGGACCCTATTCAACTTCTCTCCGATGAAATTAATCGAATAGCTGATGTATGTATTTCGAAGTGCTCCACGAATCTTGATATATGTAAACCATGGTTTTTCCGACGCCATCCTATAGTTCAAAATTTAAACAAATTTTAAATAATAAACGCAAAAGTATGGCGGACATGTAAGCAAAGTAAACACCAATTTTGGCGAAATTATGTCTCAAAAATAAATTCACGAAAGCCCTTGTCAAAAGTATAGGTCATGATCCAATAAGTCAAAGGTAAGGGCAATACATCTAGCATTCACCATCTTATAAATTCGGACCAATTGCTGACTCATATATCAAATATTACTGATTAACATGATGAAACATTGGCTCAACACTCTAACTATGTACCTCGATTCCAAAACTATCAAAAACAGAAAGAAAAGAAAACTATACATTTTAATTCAGATCATGGGGAAGATTATAACGAAGTGTTTTCTAGTCATGAGCTCCATACTGCCCTTGGACAAACTCATGATACTGCCACAGGAGCTGATAACATACATTATCACTTACAAACACTTACCAGAATCATCTTAAGAAACACAATTGAAGATTTTAGATGAAATTTTGACGTCAGGGAAATTTCCTCCTTTATTGAATTGCTATAGTTCCCAATACCCATACCCGCGCGAGGTCATACTGACTCTTCAAAGTTCCGACCAATATCTTTGACAATTTGCTTTTGCAAAACCATGGAATTCGTGATAAATAATCGTCTTGTTTGGTACCTTCAAACTGGCAATCTTATTACCAATATCAAATAGGGTTTCTGTAAAAAAACAAAAGTCCGCGTACCATAGATGATTTAGTTCGCTTTGAATCCTTTGTTAAAAATGCCATAATACATAAACGAATATTTTTCAACCTGGAAACACTCATATGACTCAACATGTAAACATGGTATTTTAAAAGATTTAAATGATTTTGGATTGCGAGGCCATTTGCCTCACCTTATATAAAAGTTTTTAACGGCAAATGAAGATCCGGGGTAGAATAGGTCTTCAGCAACCCATGCTTGCCGTAAAAGGCGACTAACGGGATCGGGTTGGTCCGGCTCGCTGACTTGGTTGATGTGTGTCATTGTATTCCAATTACGTGGATCGATGCTCATGATGGCAATCACTGGATTGTTTGGTCCAGACTCGATTATTTACAGACCGCCGTCATATAGCTGGGGTATTGCTGAGTGCGGCGTTAAACAACAAACAAATAAACTAACAACATCAACAGTGGTCAAGCTTCCAAAATAGGCCAAGGTTGGACATTCAGGGTGAAAAATGATTTTCACACAACCTCTGGTCTTGATGTAATGTGAGATGAGAGAGACATGCGCTGTTGTCTAGATCCCTTCAATAAAATTCTATACAATGCTGGATTGTTCTACGGCTGTTCTAGAGGATTCCAGTTGACACTTGACTCTATAAGCATCGAAATATAGTCAGTTGATAACCGATACCTTTCCATATTCGACCCCGTTATACTTGTATGTATTTGCTGTTATTCAATGCTCCTGTAACGGTGACATTAAACAATTGCTAAAGTACGTTGTGCTTTGAAGCCGTAAACGCAAAAAAACATCCTGCTGATAAGAGATAATAAGTTACACCTTGAATTTACAATACATTTAGTTGATTCAGGGATGGGTTGGGTTCCCTGCAATACGCGGTGGAGGAAAATGTGATTGAAACACTGCCACAGCCCCATTGTAGTATTTTCGTGTCATATCAAGTGCCCCATTCAAACCTGTTCAAATACTGTACCATGATTTTCCTGGCGGATAAACGTATAAATAAACAATATTCATAGTCAGTTTTTGCCGCTCGCCATTTTCCTCTAGTCTGACATTCATGTTGCTTTTGAAATAATATATATATGTTCCTACATCTCTGCTAAAGGCGATGGAATGTGGTTGACGCCCAAGTCAGTACGATGCGATAGTGAGTGTGTGAGTCAGCTTAAATCCTGCTACTCACAATGTTTTAGTTACAGATGCAGATTATAGATATTTACCTCTTTAAACAATTTATGGTGTTAACAAACCACGCATTATAAACAGGTCCAATCTTAGATTCGAACCCTTGTTCCGCAGATCCTATAGCGACGACGCACGAGATCGCTGGGCCACCCGCACCCCGATCTGAATCAGTCAGTGGTCCAGTAGTCTCTGGAAAGCCTGTGTACATACACATTTTAAAATAATGATGTCAATTCTAGTTCACCGTCGATAACATCGAATAACACACGACTTTAGTGTGAATACTTTGATAGACGTGTTGTAAGTGTGTTTTTATCGGATATTTTGTAGAGATATGAAGTTACTGACTGAAACCTGTGTCTAGCAGGAGACACACGATGGATCAATATTACTATCTGCACTAACATATATTGTATCCGATCAGATCTTGTTGAATGACAACATTTCTCTAATATATTATTAATCGTATGCAAACGTGAGTTTAACTAGTACACAACTAGTCCATGGAAAGTCTGCATACATATATAATATAAAATAATTTCAACAGTTGTAAGCTTACCATCGATAACATACAATAACACACATGGACAATCTAATTTATTTGATCGCTTTGACCACATCCGTAGTCTAGTGAACAGAGTGTCTTTGAGAGAGCGGAAGATCGGTGGTTCGATACCCGTCGCGTCACACCAAAAGACGTTAACGATGGTATGTCTTGTTACCTTCAGGCTGTCTGGAAAGTCTGCATACATATATAGTGTAAAATAAGTATGACATTTCCAAGAACACCATCGACAACATACAATAAGCCACGTTAATAGTCTTTGTTAGTTGATGGCATCCGTGGTCTAGTGGATAGGGTGTCTGCCCGGAAGTCGGAAAGTCGTTGGTCTTGTTATATAATAAGACGATGGTACTTGTTGCTACCCAGCCTGGCTGATAAAACAGTTACCTTTGGGCTCGGTGTCAGTATACTGAGTTTGTTATCCGTGTTAAACTGTGACATGGTACCTCAGTAAACCGGCATTAGTCCGGCAAGTAGAAGCAGTCACACGCACGCACGCACGCACGCACGCACACACCCACGCACACTGCATGCATAGGTTCCATAGACCCCACTCCACATCACCTCGCAGCCAGAAGTAGACCTCACCCTCACCCAGCTAAAATAGACAGAAACTACTCCTTTTTATCATCTTCTCTGATTCGTTGTCTTGCCTACAGGCACTTAAAAGTGTCTCATCATATTACCCTATTATTCTAGACATTTTAGAACTGTTCAATGATCTTTCTACTGGCCAATGTGACATCGTCTTTTGCTGGTTGCCAAGTCATGTGGGCTAAACAAGTAACTCAAAAGCCGATACTGCAGCTAAAGCAGCTCTTGACAAACCGTTAACTCCAATACTTATCCTGTATAGTGAATTTAAACCAACCATCAAGAGTTATACTCGGGATCTCATGCCAAAGAGGTGGGACACCCAGGTGGGAAGCAATAAACTTCAATAATTAAAACCAACAATCGGTCATACCTACTTGGGTTGTCAGTCAAGACATGACGAGGTCGTTTTACGACGATGTCGTATTGGCCAGAGTCGGTTTACCCACGAATATCTGCTGAAGACAGATAAGGACGAACCTCCTAAATGTATCCCTTGTGATGAAAGATTGACCGTCAAGCATATATTGCTTGACTGTGTGGACTTTGCTATCGCAGGAGATTAACATTATCAAAGGGGGCCTCTCATCTAAAATTACTTGAAAGAAATTGTTCCGTATAATAAATTTTAAAAATGTTAGTGAATAATTAAACGCTTGTTTTTAAATTTGGTGCGATGCTATTATCAACTGTCATTTTGAAGGCTCTGTCCAGGAGGTTAAATACCGTAAAATTATTGTCCCCCCGTGTGGCACGTAATCTTATCATAATTGATGTAACTATCATCAACCAGTGTCTTTAAGCCAACTCATTGCTGAGTATTTTTTAATATTGGCAAGTGATGGAAGTCCCCATGATCCCCAGCGAGGTGGCCTAGCTTTGGTTGCTGGTGGCCCATAGCCCGTGTTTTGAATCTGTATACATGATATTGTTATGCTCAAATATATTTCATTAATTGTTTTTTAAATATAACCTTGCTAACTTGGTCTCGTTGCAATATGGCTGAAATAATGGTGATGCGACGTTAAATGTTAACTCACTCACTCACATCACCTCGCCTGTATACAATAGTGTATTATCTCCTGCACGCCGACATAGATAAGAGACGAGGCTTTGACGTCAGTCTGACTTCGTTGCATTCAACAACGGGGAGCTTGAACTACAATGTGAGTCAAGAGGAGATATAGTGCTGAATATTGGCGGTAACATCAGGAAGGGCTGAGGTAAGAGAGTCACGTTATGTCTACAGTATTGTTAATTGCTACTTTCTTACTTCAGTGTTTTGAAGTAAATATTTCCTTCAAACATAACTTGTACCAAAAACTAATAATGTTGAATACATCTTTACCAGGAAGTAGCTCAGTGTTTGATCTGAAGGCCCTGCTGTCATGGATCAGCCATTTGTATGTTAAGATGTTAAGACTCCCAAGACTTGCATCAGTAACTGTACAAACAGGTTGTAATAAGGACAAGTACATGCATCATGTCCTACTTATTCCCAGACTGACATGGTGTGATAGCATTTGTTATGAATATTTAATTTGTTTTCAGAAAATGCTCGCCGTAGTTATGAAACGTCACATACCGTTTTTTGTTGCACTGTGCATGCTTCACCTCACTACAGGAGCAGGTATTATACTTCTCTCTCTGATATAACATATGACCTCATTGGCGAACTTGTAGCCGATATTATTATTGTTATGGGTTCACCTGATATTGAATCTAAATATATCCTCTAAATACACAGCGAGGAAAGTAAGGGTAAAATAGGCCAGGGGGAACACAACACGGTGTATAATTAAAGTCAATGAAGTCAATGATACAGAAAGTGTGTAATGGATGCAATGCAGATGCATTAATACAGTAACAACTTATGGACAGGTTCTGAAAAAGGCACAATTCAGGAAAGTTTTTAATTAAAAACAAATTTCCCCTTTTAATAAATATCCACTGTTTTTCAAATGCTGCTCAAAGAAAGTTCTCAAGGTATCTCACGGTCTTTCACCCAGTGGTCATTCAAGTGACTTTCAGAACTTTCTTCGCTTCTTAACAAATGATACGATATGTAACTGACAACCAATGATTATACGTGTGACTTTCCAAAGACAAGTTATTAAATAAACATATGTCACACTAAGTTTTAAGTTGTGCATGTATACAGTAGTTCCGATCTCTTCAGCTGCATCTTTCCAATATAACAAATAAATAATGTACCTCATCAATCCATTTATAGGAACCTTGAGATCTAGATACATGTACACTGATCACTATAACATATCCATGAATGATGTTTTCAGTGGTTCTTCGTCTTGTTCCTGGACCAAACAAAGGTGTTCTGCAGATTCTACATAACAATACATGGGGAACATTATGTACGAACTACTACTTTGACTATAGAGAGGTCAATGTTGTCTGCAGACACCTGGGATTCAATACGTAAGTGCCACATGTGACGGAGAGACTGTTCAGGGCTGTTATCCTAACTATATGTTGTATATCTTGATTGTGTACTATTACAGCTGTCTCCCATCATATAAGTGATACAGAACATAAATGTGGGACAGCGAGAATGTGATATTTCTCATTTGAGTATCAGAATTTCTATATTCCTAACATTGTGGACAAACGGCTTATGTCCAATGCATTTTGAGCATTCCTGGTCTTCAAATTGAGAAATTATTGAGCGTTGTCTTACACGGATTTACTGTATACGATTGATATAAACCCATATAGTATATCCCTTATGCCATTTAAAGGGCATGTAACCATTTCAGACCAAAACTATACAAACAAGGATTTGACCTTAAGATAACATTAATAGAGAAAATCACCATGGCAAATTATCGCCTCACAAATGATCGAATCTTTTCAGCACCTTCAATACTCAGAGAGATTTTGGTTCACTACCTGGAAGTGTTAAATATTGGGCACAATTCAATTGCAATGGAAAGGAAAACAGTTTCAACAACTGCCCAAATTTTAATTTGACCCGCTGTTCTTCCCCAAGCACCTTGGGAATGGCATGCCTAAGTGGTATGTATCAAACTATTTTATCAGACGATCATAGTTATCACTTTGCACTGTTATTTTGCACAGGGACTGAAAGTTCATCAGTAGTGTTGGTGTTAAGATATAACTGTGCGATAGCACAAAAAATATACCACATCCTGATAGTGACACTGACAACTGTCACATAGGACATGTGTATGTTTTGTGAATCGCAAAAAAAAAAAACAGAAAAGAAAGAGGCCTGCTTTTGCACGATAAAATACTATTCTATCATGACATCATTTCTCGAGATTCGAACATACGCTCGCAACTTTTAAGACGTCGTAAATTGGACGACTCTATTTGTAAAGGGACGTGAGTTGTCCACCTTAGATGTAGCTGGGCAACGCAGATGATGGCAATCAAAATCGGGCGAGATATGACAATCTATAATGCGAGAAAAGGTACAGATAGTAGTCGTAGGAATTTTGAGAACATTCAGGAAATACCTAATCCCCCTGTTCAGAAAATGGACTTGTCCGACATTGCCGAAATCCTTTTGTATTCAGGGAGAATCAATATTCAAATAGTCCCCCTAGTTGTTTTATCTTATAAACAAAATGGCAGCATGGTTCAAAATCAAAATCAGTTTCAATGATAAGGAAATCGTTGCACAAGTTTGTATCGATTAAGACAGAGATAACATTTAATATATGAAACACACTGTGTTCAACGCAAACTCCTTGGTATTAGCGAATATACTCAGTGAAGCAGGAGTCCACTGGTTTGAATCGGTTGCCGACCGATCTCAATTATTTGGAAAATGAATAATAGCCTTTAACCAAAGTGTTTGGATGTATATGTCCAAGGCTTGTTTCTCTAAATATATGTCGACCACATATACATGTATGACAGGCATTGGAATTGTGTAACACCGCTACTTGAAAGCGAACATAAAGTGGACACCCTTATAAATGCTTAAAGATTTCCTCACCAAACTTAACTGTTATTTCTCCACACAGATCAATGTAACGCAAAACATGTGTCGTCAGAGTCGGATATACAAACAGACACACCAATGCTCTCTTGGTGCTCTGTGTGTGTTTTTTTATCATTGAAACTATTGCCCTCTTTTTCTTCTTCTCATTTACATGACACAGGCACCGAGAGTTTGATAACCCTTGGCAACGAGAAGATCAGGGACATCGAGGAGGGAGGATCGTTGTCTTGCTCAGTGTACACACGACAGTCTCCTTATGCGTATGTGTGGACCAAAAACGGAAACATACAATTTAACCAGGCTTCTAGGGCAATCACTCTGAAGCGCACTGACTCTGGGAACTTGACCTGTAAAGTTTACTCACGTACTGGAACCAAACTTCTTGGATCAGACTCAGTTATCGTTACTGTTCTGTGTAAGTATGGCACTGAAACATAAAATTTGTTTGTTGTTTAACGCCGTACTCAGCAATATTCCAGCTATTTGACGGCGCTCTGAACATGATCGAGTCTGGACAAGACAATCCAGTGATTGACATCCTCAGAATCTATCCACGAAAGTGGGACACGATGACATGTATCAGCCAAGCCAGCGAGTCTGACCATCCGACTTTCACGTGAAGTATAGTTGCCTTTTGCAGCATGCGTGGGTTGCTGAAGGCCTATTCTCACCCGGATCCTAAAGACACAAGCAGAAGCACTGCCTGTGTATGTTGTACTGTAACTGCAATATAAACAGGCATACGAGGGGTCATGAAGTGCAAAAGAGTACCGATATAATAACCGAATACCAATAAACGAGCTTACAAAACAAATATTTATATCATAACCAAATTACAAAAGACGTTTTTATTCAAACGGAAGTACGAGATGTATGATATTTGTCGTTTTCCACAGCAACAGGCGGGGCACATTGTGTCAAGCTCTCTGTTACTGTTAACACTTAATGACGTTTCAAGGGCATCTTTCAGTTAACAAAACTTGATGATTAAATACATCATGTCACTATAAAAGTGCATAATATTTTAGACCACCCTCACAGCCTCACCACGAGAACAATGTACGCCCAACGAGGAGACACAGTGAACCTGAGCAGGTCTGACATAAGCCTCCCTCCACCACACGTCTACAGATGGCGCCAGACAGGGCTGGACTCCGAGTTCACTGAATCCACCAAACCTCCTGTCATACAAAAAATACAGCTCAATCACAAGGGGGACTATATCCTGGATGTGACAAACAGATTTCCCAGTGGAAGTTCAGACGCTGGCATTGATCTTATCAAACTGTATGTTTCATGTAAGTCACATTCTTTTGACCAAAACGGTTTTTATCATTTCGACGTTTATAAATTGACTTGTGGCCTCCTATTGTAATTCAGTTTGTATAGTTGTACACGATGGTTGCATCTGCTAAATTATATTCAGACTAATGCCTACTTTCTCTTACTTACACCACAACTATCCACAAAGTTGCAATATTCAACCTATCACTTAATTGCTAATTTTACTCAGGCCTTATCACATTAACTGAACTCACTGACAAACTGGCTACAGTGTTCCTCCATCAGCTGTAGAATGTGACAAAATTCATGTGGATACTTTTCATAGTCACACCGCGTCAATCAAGAAAACTGCACTCCCCCTGAAATCGTCCAGATTATATTATTAGATTTCCGGATTATCGACTCATGAATAAAGATTCTATTGTTATTTGTTTATACATGTTCGGCATTTATTGTAAGGTGTGTTTATGTCTGGGTTAACGTTTTCTGGACCAAGGTGGTTTCAATGAATGTATTTGTGACTTCTTTAATGGACAGATAAATAAAAATCTCCACAAAAAACCTCAGACTAAAGGAGATGTATTTGAACATGATTGACAACACTGGTTTCTCTTGGGTCCTGTCATTCTTGCTTGCCGTCAGAGGCGACTAACGGGATTGGGTGGTCAGGCTCACTGACTTGGTCGATGCATGTCATCGTATCCCAATCGGATCGATGCTTATGACGTCAATCACTGGATTGTCTGGTCCAGACTCGATTATTTACAGACCGCCGTCATATAGCTGGAATTGCTGAGTGCGGCGTACAACAACAAAGAAACATTCCTAAAATAAATGCCTATTTTACACTTCCAGATGCTCCCTCCGTCAAATGTGACAGGGAGGTATCAGTTGTAGTGGGTCAGTCTCTCAATTTAGAGTGTGACGTTGATGCCTACCCAGACCCGCACACCCTGACATGGTCGCACATCACCGCCTACCAGAAAGAGGTGGCCAGCATGACTGAGAAGTTCCGTGTTCCAGAAGCCTCCCATGCTGATGGCGGCCTCTACAAGTGCGAGGCCAGGAACAACATCACTAACCGACGTGGTGACGTTGAGGTTGGCGTCGGGGCGTGCACCATACGGGTCACCGTTCATTACTCTAGTGAAGGTAAACTCTATAATATCCATCTTTCCACTCCAACAATATGAGAATTGTTTGAAAATCAGTGAACGTAACGCATATTACTGTCAGTGAGTAAGTATGGTTTTACGCCGCTTTTAGCAATATTCCAGAAATATCACGGCGGGGGACACAAAAGTGGGCTTCAAACAGTGTACCCATGTCGGGAATTACTGTTATTAATAATGATACGATTGAGATAATAATTGATTGATGATTAATGACCAAGTTGTTTTGTGTCTTAAATATGAGAAAATGTTTTGGACAGTTCATGTCATCGTGTATTTTTGTATATTTACAATCACATGCTCGTTTATATATTCTTCAATTTCAGCTTCGACATTGCTAGTTGTCGCTGCCAAGTCAAATGATAAGGGAGGCAACTCTATGACGACTGTTGTATATGTTGTTGGGAGTATTCTTGTGCTGATTGCACTCTGCCTTGTCATCGTTCTCGTGGTGCTGACACTCAAGCGTCTCCCGATAAAAGGTACTTGCAGTTAGTCTGGCACATATTAATACATAAACAATCGAAATAAACAGGCCATTTATTAAATATGATGCTGAAATAATTCTTTTCGCAACAAAGTGTGTTATAGTAGACAACTCAGTATGGTGGATTTATTTATCAGATGTGTTTGTAACGCAGCTTAAACATTTGTCTCTTTCTGTCTTTTTAGGGAATGGAACAGAAGAAGAGTAAGTTAATTTATTTGTCGTTGTTATTGTGTACATGTACATTGAAAAAAACTGTCTACGTGTCACAGTTTGAAACGAATATGAGCAATTCCCAGAGAAAAAAAAGACCATTATGCATATAGTCCTGATTAAAGTCTTTAATTTGTATGAAAACAAAAGCATAATTTACTTTCTCTTTTTGGGCGCACGGGTGGCCAAGTCGTCTTAGGCGCCGTGATTCGCTGTTCAGGGCTGCTTCCTTGGGCACGCCAGAAACCTATGATTGTGGCTTTGAATCCCGGTTCGCCCCGATTATGTTTCTAGGTTTGTCAGCACCAAACCCGTGCTCGTGGGTTTCAGCGAAGTGGTAAACGTCTGAGACCTGCATCACTTCGGGCTTTCCTACCACATTAAGCTGACATGCCGTGATATAACTGGAATAATGTTAAAAGCGGCGTTAACCCCAACTCACTCACTCATTCACAACTTTCCTTTTTTTCGCAAATTAAGGAAGAAGACAGAAACGTGCCCAGACCCTCCAGAAGAAGGTAACCCACAATAAACATATATTCGCAAGCATATGCGGCAAACTCTTTTTGCAAAGTTTTTAAAATCTCGAAAATGTCAATATGACAAAAGTCCTTGGGGTAAAGAGTGTAGCAGATGACTGATCATGAAGAGGCATTTTCATGAACTTGCCCTAGGTAAAACTACTTTGGATATTATAGTAGAATAGAATTGAGAAGATTTTATGTCCGCTGTAGACAAATATTTTACACGTTTGAAATGTATCAAATATTTGGGTCGAATGTGCATATTGACGTACGGCTTTATTAGCTTAGAGATTTGAGAACAATCTCTTAAGCAGTAGTTGTTATTGTTTTCTTCAGAGCATGCCTACGAAGGACTGTCAATTCGCTGAGACGGAAAGAAATAACCCGGTCCACATTGCAAGGTATTGCATCTGAGACATTATATATATTTTGTTTGTTTGTTTGTTTGTTGTTTAACGCCGCACTCAGCAATATTAAAGCCATATGACCGCGATCTGTAAATAATCGAGTCTGGACCAGACAATCCAGTGATTGATATCATGAGCATCGATCCACGCAATTGGGATACGATGACATGCATCAACCAAGTCAGCAAGCCTGACCACCCGATCCCGTTAGTCGCTTTTTTCGACAAGCATAGTCGCCTTTTACGGCAAGTATGGGTTGCTGAAGACCTATTTTACCCCGGATCTTCACGGGTCACATAATATATAATGTTCTTTGAATTTTACATAATCTACATAACATGTAAGATCTACGACATGTAGATAGCAAGCTGCGTGTCTCTACATGATGCCATCGTACCGACACAATTATGGATAAGTTTCCTTTTTTCTGTGTTACAGATTCCGCACAAGCCTGCCTCATCTGTTCTAAACGGTTTCATTGCGTCGCCATTCACGTTCAAAGAATACAGGATTCAATGTCAAGCAACTCACGATGTGTTTTCTTGTGAACAGATTGTCTCACTAGGAATACGATTTTACTTGCAGCTGCTTTCTTTAACATAATTTTGATTAACCCTTACCAGTTGGCTTTACAAGAAACATCACCAACTTGCATACTCTGTTGATGTTTGCTTATGGTCTTCTTGTATATAGTATGATGTATAACAATGTTATGTGTACTTCGTGAAGCATAAGTTTCTTTGTTTCTAACTCATATTGAAAATGGGAGTCGTTTAGTAACAATATTTTTACCATAGATGTGTGACATATCAGATATAATAAATAAATAAATAAATAAATAAATAAATAAATAAATAAATAAATAAATAAATAAATTCTCATAATTTGTGGACCACGGTGATATTTTTACGCTACATAAACTATTAATAAAAGTATTTTAGAAAATGAGAGTGAATATATGTACCATGGAGTAATTCTCAAAAGCCATGTAATTAATTCCACCCAGTGGTTATAGTGTGATATAGTGTGTTATTGTGTGAGAAACCATGAAAGGCAATGCATTTCATATTGACCAAAGCTTGATTACATAATATTACCCTTTCGATAACCTGCCAATCAAAATTAGTTGATGCCATGATAATCCTCATTCTAAATTACGGTTCAGAAATCTGGGGAGGTGAAAAATGAATCATAATGGAAAATATTCACCTTGAATTTATAAGCAAATTGTTGCCTAACACAAAGGGTAATCCACTTTATATACTGTATACAGAAAAAAGAAGTAAACCACTTTATATCACTGATGTGGAAAATGATTGCCTTTCCAACAAAACTAATCGCTGGAAAATCGTCAAACATATCCTGTATTACTTTACCCGTATATATTATACTAATATATTTCCATGTATACCAATGTATTTAAATGTATGGTGAAGACACATCTTGACGATCAGATTATAAACTTATTAATTATGAAATTAAAACGGAATTCTACCTAGATAATTTAGCCCCAACATACTAAATGCCAGTAATACTGTTGGCTGCATGTCACAGTGGAGAGAGGTCGCTAGACACAAAATACCATTAGTTACATCAGTTCCATGCTTGCCGTAAAAGGCGACTATGTTTGTCGTAAAAGGCAACTGACGGGATCGGGTGGTCAGGCTCGCTGACTTGGTTGATGCATGTCATCGATCCCAATTGCTTGGATCGATGCTCATGATATCAATCACTTGATTGTCTGGTCCAGACTCGATTACTTACAGACCGCCGTCATATTGCTGGAATATTGGTGAGTGCGGCGTAAAACAACAAACCAAGCCAAAAAACATCAGTTCCATTGTGTTCTTGTAATGACATTGCTGATGAGTATAATTACTTCACTTTTGAAATGTTTGTTACCTGTCACTCAAAATATATTCTGATGATGCAGGAAATCCTTCAATGTTTAAATTGGTCAAATTATTTGAATGCAAAGACAAACTTATCATGAAGCAGTTATCAATTTTCTGTAAATCTATTATGAATGTTTTTCAGTGATTATAGAACATGATGCCGCCATGTATGTGAATATACAGATAGTTCACTGTTAACCCTCAACGCACCATGTCTTGTGGGCTTGAGTAACATAAGGTTCAATTCAGTTCCGAAAGCAAGATTGCACATTTTTTTTCAAATGTGAACTAATCGTTTGTAATAACATGATTCAACTTTTTTAAAGTGAAATAAGCTGTAGCACGCTTTCTAATAAACACATGGAATTTGATCTTATTTTCTTCCTGATTCCTATGGCATTTAGTATAAGAAAAGGTACTGAGATCAGCTCCTGATGCTGTTATAAAAATAACAGTATCTAATGTAAATCCAAGGTTCTGACAACATATTATACAATGATATTGAAGATTTCTTGATTCTGATTGCTTACAAAGTGGTGTTATGTTTGCTTCAGAAACCACATTAAAATATATTATTACTTTTCACTGAAAAAATGTGCGTATCAATACATCGATAGCCTACATATCGATCCTCATAAATATGTCCGCCGATAACCCATAAGAACTGTACTAACTCTTCTAGATGCTGGGTCTCTAATAACGACTGGGGCGGTCGGGTAGCCTAGTGGTTAAAGCGTTCGTTCGTTACGCCGAAGCCCCGGGTTCGATTCCCGACATGGGTACAATGTGTGAAGCCCATTTATGGTGTCCCCCGCCGTGATATTGCTGGAATATTGCTAAAACCATACTCACTCACTCTAATAACGCCCAGTCAACGGCTCTCGCGAAATTGATAGACGGCCGAGCGTCTTATAGAGGAAATACGGTACGCTTGATGTCTGATGTTTTGGCGACGATTTTGACGTTCTAGATGAGATGATGAGATTAGCTTCCAAGACAAAGGCATATCCTTTGCACACAAATGATAACGTTTATGAAACTGTTAGGGATATGGCAGGAGGGGATTTGAATGTCCATCAGAAACCACTCATGATATCAATCACTGGATTGTCTGGTCCAGACTTGATTATTTACATACCACCGTCATATAGCTGGAATGTTGCTGAGTGTGGCGTTAAACAACAAACCAACTAATTTGAACACCTCATGTGACCTTGACAGCAGAATAGGTGTAGACTGTCACCCGAATTAATCTCTTGAAAGTTCCAAAAGGATACACACAAAATATATCTATATACGATGTATAACAGATCTATCCAGGCATAAAAAAATTCTCGTCACGATATAGTTGAAATACTGCCCATGACACGTTAACTTTCAACTTTCGCACTCACTTTGTTTCAACAAAGCCATTGGTAAACTTTTCAATGTAGGATGGTAAAGATAAACATGTCTTCATGAAGGATATTAACATGTAGTTGCACACACAGGAGGTATACCATGGTTATGTAATTGTAACTGCCACAGTCGAGCTGTGTGAACCAGCCTTAGTAAGGATTAACATTGTAATACTTCGGGTTTGGCATACTGTTTTTCATAACGATACTGTTTACTGTAACACATGCAAATACATGCTTTGACAAAGACCATTACTGTACCTAACATTTCTACCGTTGCCGTTTCCTAAACATAATAATTAATAGATAAACGTCTTGTTTGTTATCGGACTTTATTATTACTTTGTTATTTAGTCTTTGATGGTGTAAGCCTGAAGTTTCAAATACTAACTGAAGGTCGAAATACAAATTGATTTGGTGTGTATTTAAGTTACAATATGTACATAATCATTCAGATTTTGGAATTGTGTTGTGTAGCCCGGTATCAATATTAGGCCTTGTACATTCAACTCGAGCTAGAGCAAAATCGGGAGCAAGTGTACACAAGGTCTACCTACTGAATCAAGATTAAATAACATTTCGTATGCCTTACGCGGAAGTCTGTGAGATGGCATATGTAGTACTTTTAGTTAGTACTTTTAGTCAGTTTAAGGTCTATGGATACCGTCCACATTCCCCAACGAACATTACACTGGGAGTGTTAATACCTGTACGACAATAATATTTTCATTGGACCATTTCCTGCTATCTACTATTCTACTATCTATAATCTTAAGCCCAAATATATATCTAACTGTTCCATATAGAGTTCACTCATGCGCCGGAGGCATAACTTATGTTATGTCACTTATAAAACGGCCATATATAGAAATTCCAGCCTGGACGCGAAAGTCTACTTTTGTGAATACGTGTGACAATTTAGATAAAACCAGGCTAAAAAGCGCAGGGCTCACTAGTGTTATACCCCCAACTTCGACTCCAACATATTTCTAAGTTCAAAACATGAAAAACGAAATATTGTCCAAAAATATCCAATTATTTAAATCAAACATTGGACCGGACCCCTTCTATCAGTATGGAAACTGTTCGTTGAATTTGAAAAGGAGTCAAGTCCTTGGTTTATGCCCTCAATGCCGACGGCCAAACTGAGTAACACCAAGTACCTTGCAATTGTTTTAACGTCTTTTGGTATGGCGCGGGCAGGTATTAAACCCCGGAATTTCCGTTTTGTGGGTATAATCCACAACAACACGGTAGTGGTGTGAATAAGGTTAGCAGCCGTAATTAGTTCCGTCGTCTCTTCCCTGACAGTTTTACTATTGTATCATTACTGAACACGACAACCTTCCTTTTGACTTACTGTTTTTCTTGACTGGCCATCCAGCAAAGACATTCTCTCCATCATAGTATATGTGACGTCATCACGTTATGTGTGTGCATAGATTTGTTTCTGTTCCAGCTATACCACGGCGGTATGTAAATAATCCAGAGATTGATAGTAAGAGCAAAGTACCACGCTGTCTGGACACGATGACAAGCTACCAGCCTCCGAGCCTGACAACCAATTCCAGGAAGTCGACTCTTGCGACAAGACATGTTGCAGGGGACAAGTTCTATCACGGAATCGCCACTGATTGACCATAGAAATTATGATCAGAGAAGGTTCCGAAAATAATCGTCGCAAGAATGAGCCACAATTGTTATCATGTATGTGATTTCGCTGATTGCAAGTCATCGTATTACTAGGGGCAACGGGTGGCCAAGTCGTTAAAGACGCCGCGATTTGCTGTGCAGAGTTGCTTCCCTTTGGTACGCCAGAAACATGATTAATGGTTCGAATCCCGGTTCGCCCCGATTATGTTTCTAGGTTTGTCAGCACCATGCCTGTGCTCGTGGGTTTCAGAGAAGTGGTAAACGTCTGAGACCTGCATCACTTCGGGCTTTCCTCCCACATTAAATTACAGGTAGGTGTGTTGATATTGCCCCCGCCATGGTAAAACGATGAGTGAGTGAGTTGGGTTTAACGCCGCTTTTAACAGTATTCCAGGTATATCACGGCGTGTCAGCTTAATGTGTGAGGAAAGCGAATCGCGGCGCCTCAGACGACCCGTGACAACCTCATAGCACAACAAAGTGATTTTGTTCCCTTTCAGAAGTATTGAATATTCAAATCTTGATTTTAAGGCAGTAACATTCCTAAAACAAGCGCAGGTGTTGACTGTGTGGCCTCATGAAGAAAATGTCCTGATGGGCATGCAACCCTCTTACAATAAAGAGTTTGACTGACAGGCTTTTGAAAGATATATAGTGTTAATCTGACTTATATTCTGTGAAGTATGCACATGAAACCTTAACTAATGGGTAAAGGACTAATATGGCGTATAGACATATTCCATCTGGGAGCTGCAATGGTCACATACCCAAGCCCATGGGATTCATCACTTCGTAAATGTAAGACCTACATCCCTGGCGTGTCATATAAGCTAAGCTAATGCCGTGGTAACTGATATACCGTCCAAGTTGACTTATAACGGCTTA